ATTGGCCTACACACAATTTGTGTTATACATCAGAGGGTCGGACCATGGACCTACTAAGAAGGTCCATGGTCAGACGACCAATACAATTAATACGAAGAAAATCATACGGATCAATGTTTTATTAAATTGGACTGTGCACCATGACTGCGAATGGCTAAATGGCTGGCAAAAATGAATAGCCTTGCCCTTAATACAACTAAAATACATTACGGGAAATTTTCTTGACAGGGCTGGATATGTTTTTGTTTAAATATCGTTACGAAAGGCATTCCATAATGTCTAACATACGTTATCCATAAAGTTGCATGAGTAAAATCTAAATTTTGATTTAATAATCTCTCCTAAAGGTGTACCAGTTGATTAAACCTAAAGTATTCTACACTTCACAAGTATGCCCTTTTCTGCTCCCTCGTCATGTTCGTTCATAGCAACCGTAGGAACCGTCATAAAATTTCGTATTATATAGATTAAATGATGAAATAGAGCAATACCTCTGCGGAACAACTAAATTATGATTTCAAATGAATAAATAAAACTAACTTACCATGATGTGATTGTTTGTAGTGAATTTTCACGAACTGCTCGCAACGTATGATGTGCCGTAAGCAATGTGATTCAAATGCCGTTTGACCAGTTAGAGCACTCTTTATAAGGACCTCCCAATCTCCAGTTTGCTCCAAGTCAACAAACAGACTAGTCGAGGCGTTTCCAGGGAAACCACATCAGTTCAACCAATCAGAGAGCGTTTTATTGTTTGTGAGTGCAAGAAGCGGTCATTTTCAGTTGGCGGGCTAGTCCTAGACCCCCAGACCACGGGTCGAACGAAAAATGGTGCCGCATGTAACCACATCTTTCAAAAGGTACAACTGTTTTCTGACCACACAAAGATGATATCAATAATTCGATCTGCTTTACCGAGAACAGAACACGAAAGGAAGACCGCGCAAACAAAGCAAGAACACGGTGCTTTCCAGAACCGAGTTATGAACTTGAAAAACTATTGTCGGCCAATAGAGTTTTGCAATGTTGCAGTAGGCTAAATTGTTCCATATTTAAATAAGAAGTCAGATCGTTGAAATAGAATTACTTAGGCCCCCAATAATTAAATATTATCTTCTCGATCGTAATTTTCTACACGAGGATAATGAGATTCCGTGTTATTTGTATACTTTCTATTTTTCCTGCGCACAATTATGTCAAGGTCAATTTTAACAATATATTCTTGACAAAACTGTCCATGCTCTAAAACTGCCTCAATACTTAAAGGAAACCAAAACCTTCATACCAAGTTACTTTTATTGTAAAGTTTAAGATATTTGAAAAATATCAGTGAAAATTTGAACAAAATCGGGCAAGGAATAAGGAAGTAAGATGTGTGTGTGTGTAATTGGGTTTTTACAGACGTGTATCAATCAGATATGATTATTTACGTCTGGGACCGACCTTTAACGTCACCATCCGAAAGACGTGACTCAGTTTTGAACCTGCGTCCTCGGCTGAATCAGTTTGTAACTTCCACTGTTGGCTGGATTACAGGCGCACGCCACAACGCCTAGTTATGGCGTTGAAATAGAGCTTTTTGAAATTACTAGTCACTAGAGGGCGGTATTCAATTTGATGACATCATCTGTGGAAAACTCTCCATGCCTTTTGTACATCAAATTTCATGTTTTTCCTTCTTTCTTGTGATTGAGATAATGTACTCCCCTGAAAGCAAGATATAGAATGCACTGAAAATGATATTCTACTTCACATGTTATGAAGTCGGATCAAGAACACAAATAAATACGAAGAAAACAAAAAAATTGTGAAATTTTATGTACAAAAGGCATGGAGAGTTGTTCACAGATGATGTCATCAAATTGAATACCGCCCTCTAGTGACTAGTCACTTCAAAAAGCTCTAACTTTCTTATTCCTTGTCCGATTTTGTTCAAACTTTCACTGATTTTATTCAAATCTTTTAAACTTTACAATAAAAGTAACTTAGTATGAAGGTTTTGGTTTCCTTTAATATTACACAACTTGGAAGATTTTGTATTGTCTATATTTCCTTAAATTCTTCTTAATCTGTTTTTAAAAGTTATTAAAAACGCTTGAAAATGTATCAAACAGTTTAATAGTTTTATCCTGTTCTGTTGCACTTGTGATAAAACTCTTCTGGCTCCGTTCGAACAGACGATGAATTATTTCAAGAATGACTGACTGTCTGCCTATTTGGTCTGTATGGTATTTCCTCTCATTTATAAGTCCTTCTCTCTGCTCTCTTTCCGTCTCTCTTTCTTTCTCTCTCTCTCTCTCTCTCTCTCTCTCTCTCTCTCTCTCTCTCTCTCTCTCTCTCTCTCTCTCTCTCTCTCTCTCTCACACACACACATTCTTCCCCCATTCCTGTGTCTCATTTCATTATCATTATTCTTAATATAGTCATAACTTTTTTTATAACCGATTTTGCCATTGATCCTGTCATTATGTATCGGGGAAATTAGACAAATGACAAGCCACCTCTCAAGCCAACCACACATGTATGGCTATTGATCGTATCGATTTAGGGTCACCACTTGTTTGTACTGTCGTTCAACCGTCAGATGTATTTCTAAAGAATACCGGAGTTTATTTATACAGATACATGCAAAATGACCTCCACGATAAGTTGGCTAAACCTTGATGTGAAAAATATATGGGTTTTTATTCAAGAGAGAGAAATGTTTAATTTGTTAGATATTAAAAATGTTGAGCCTGTATTTTAAACAAAAAAAATCACTGCATGATGGATACATGACTCCAGTTTCCGTCTCCGGATTTTTTGTTTCTTATGAGTATAAGTTTGTACAACCCTATAGAGACCGACAGCCCTGGAAGCCGATAATGTCGGCCTTGCGGGACTTCTGAACGCGGGCCTTACGGTTCTGAAGACCGACGTTCAACATTCTGGACCGACTAGCTGACGGGTCGATCTCTTGGGCCTATTCAGTGGCGGATCCAGGGGGCGGCCCCCCTGGTGTAAAACCACGTTAATTTTACTTTTTTTTGGAGATGCCCCACCCCCTACTCCCTTCATCCGTGCCATTTTTCAATTTTCGAGGGCCCAAACAAAAACATTAGTGCTCAATACCCCCCCCCCTTCCCCCACTGAGCGAAATAATGGCCGACACGATTTTATTTGAGCACACTAAATTTCAAATTGATCTCAAATTTGCCCCCCCCCCCCCCCCCCCCCCCCCCTAAGAAATCCTGGATCCGCGCCTGGGCCTTTTGGCAACTTTTCTGAAGAGACCGTCATTATCATTTTTTTAGGTTGTTGGTCTCGTGGTCCATCGATTAGTGAATGTGATGTCTCCGACAGTATCCACGTTTGCTGTAGTACCACCCCTTTTATACTGTTGCCCATAATTATATTTGGTATCATTTTCCTTACCTAATTTCATGAAATTATTGTGAAAATAATGGTTTATTGTTGACAGATAAAAATGAAATCCTTTACAGAACTCTATCGATCATTCTTTATGACTCTTCAGTCATCTGATCATAATGTAGTAATCATTTCATGAAAAGAGGTAAAAAAATCATTCAAGTTTTATGGCCAACATTGGTTTTGGCAGAGAATCTGTCACCGCTTTGAATCACATATTGATTGAACGAATGAAAGCACATAACCTAAAAAAATATGTTGTTATAGGTTTGACATTGATATATTAATTGATACAATGTATGCTGAGGCTGAGTGTACTATGTTTACTTGTAGAATGAAGTTTAAAGATAAAGATGAGTTCTGGTAATGCGATTGCCTTGTGAAAGAAAAGGTGTGGAATGGATCAGAAAAAGTTGATCATGTAGCATGTAAGTATTGATGTGTACTGCAAGGTTCTGGAGTCATCAAAATCACAGAAAGATGTATATGGGACTACACAAATGGCTACTAACCTTGATTTCCTTATCTTTCTATGCTCATTACTCAGCCAATGTACATTTTCTACCAAAATTTTATTATTTTCAATCTTGAACATTCAGTGAAAGTTTCGTTTGATTCTGTGAGATTTCATTTTCTTTTTTTTTACCAGAACTCAAGTTTATCTTTAATGATGTTCCTGTCTTTGCACTTAGTTCGACTCGTTGTCACGGTCTACCTCACACTCAATCAAACAGATTATCCGTTTGGCTGCGCTTATTGATTATCGACTTGCATTACGGGGTGTCACCACCTCATAACATAGGACTCGTGTGCCCTGTCATTGTATCGAATCAATAAATCAATAAGTAATCCTTCAGTAGGCTAATAATACAAGTGAATGCATGTTCTTTAAAATAGGACAGAGTGACAATGACAGATAATTCCGTATGGGGGTCGGGGTCGGAGAGCGAGTTTTTCGTCACGAGTATTCTTGGTCTATTGTCAAGCGCGCCATCTTTTGACAGATTACAGGATGACTGTTTAAAAATAAATGTATATGTATTTTCCTATTAGCACTCTCTTTCTCTACCTCTCTTTCTCCCTCCCTCCCTCTCTCTCTCTCTCTCTCTCTTTCTCTCACTCTTTCTCTCTCTCTCTCTCTCTCTCTCTCTCTGTCTCTCCCGATCCCTCCACCCTTCTTTCCCGTTATCTCTTTCTTATTCATCCTCGCACTGATTTCTTTTACTTCCTTTTACGAAACACTTTTCTAAAACATCCACCGCTGCATTTATTTTTTTGGCTTTCTTCTTTGCTCAATATTGTGAAGGACCCCCGCCTTCTCTCACACACACACACACACACACACACACACACACGCACACACACACACACTTTCTATTCTTTTACGTCTCTCCGCCCCTTGTCTTGTTCTGTTGTAGCGTGTGGAAGTGGGGGTTGAAGGGGCCAGACAAATACACTGTATTCCCACAATCATAACAAAGGAAAGCAAATTTTTCGGAAGAATGTAGAATAGAATACCATTCTTACCCATTATTCTTGTTCTGTTTCATCATTAAGTATATGTATCATACAAAACTACATACATTTTTAGATGCATTTCTTTCCTTTCCGAATTTTTATTGCTAAATCTTTGCACAAACTGAAAAAGTATTAATCCACGTACGTGAAATATTGCATGAGGTACATAAATGATTTGTACATGGTCATGTATAATATACTCCCTTTCTACTCACGACTGAAAAATAATTATTCAAGAGATCCCAAAGGGGTGATTTTACAAATAAGTATAAAAGTATGGTTGTTGTTTTTTTCTCTAAAAAAAAACAAGTTTCATGATTGAAACTGTCTCTCCTTTTGATATCATTTATGGATCTGAATTTATCTAAGGAATAGAAGTTGGTGGTTAAGCCCATTATTTAACTTCGTATTTCCTAACAGAACTCTTGTAGTGCTCGCTGTCCCATTATTTCAATATTCATCCTGCTCTTCTTCGTCTGCGGGATCTACAGAATCCATGCCAACTTCTTCGTAGTCCTTCTCCAGTGCAGCCATATCCTCACGAGCCTCGGAGAACTCTCCTTCCTCCATACCTTCTCCGACGTACCAATGGACGAAAGCACGCTTGGCGTACATCAGATCGAACTTGTGGTCGAGACGGGCCCAGGCCTCAGCGACTGCGGTGGTGTTGCTCAACATGCAGACGGCACGCTGAACCTTAGCAAGATCACCACCAGGGACGACGGTGGGTGGTTGGTAGTTGATACCGACCTTGAAGCCAGTTGGACACCAGTCGACGAACTGGATGGAACGCTTGGTCTTGATGGTAGCGATGGCGGCGTTGACATCCTTGGGGACGACATCACCTCTGAATAGAAGACAACAAGCCATGTACTTGCCATGACGGGGATCGCACTTCACCATCTGGTTGGAGGGCTCGAAGCAGGCGTTGGTGATCTCAGCAACGGTCAACTGCTCGTGGAAGGCCCTTTCAGCTGAGACTACGGGTGAATAGGTAGCCAGGGGAAAATGGATTCGAGGATAAGGCACTAAGTTGGTCTGGAACTCGGTCAAATCGACATTGAGGGCGCCGTCGAATCGCAGAGAAGCGGTGATGGAGGAGACGACTTGAGAGATAAGTCTGTTGAGGTTGGTGTAGCTGGGACGCTCGATGTCAAGGTTGCGACGGCAGATATCGTAGATGGCTTCGTTGTCGACCATGAAGGCACAGTCGGAGTGCTCCAGGGTGGTGTGGGTTGTCAAAATGGCATTATAGGGCTCGACTACGGCAGTGGCTATCTGGGGTGCCGGATAGATGGAGAACTCAAGCTTGGACTTCTTTCCGTAATCGACAGAAAGACGCTCCATGAGCAGGGAGGTGAAGCCAGAGCCAGTGCCGCCACCGAAGCTGTGGAAGATGAGAAATCCTTGGAGACCTGTGCATTGGTCAGCCTGTAAGGAGGTAAAAACCATAAATTTCAGTAAATCTAAATTTGCAAATTCATTTCCTCATCATCGATGAAACCAGCAATTTTCAATCTGTTTTACATTATATTTATTTGTGATGAAAATTTCAAATTGTTTTGAATGTTCTCTCCAGAAGAAAATGCGAAAGGCAATACATGTAAGGAATTCCAGTAATATAGAAGCTTGATTTTAATAGAGCTTACCAAATTTCACTTTTGTTTTCATATTCCACTTCTAAAATGTCACCCTATAGCTTGTCACTTCTCTCTTGAAAACGTTGCGGGTATGAGAACATAGCACAATACACCAGTTTACAGTTGTATCAGTGCGCATGAGCAGACAGTTGACCTCGGGTCATTGGCCCCGGAACAGGGCCAAATTGGCCCTGTTCCGGGGCCAATAACCTCTGACCTCTGGTATTTATGCGTAAATTAAGATTGCGCCCATGCAAATGATGATATGCGCGCACAACGCAGCGCGCAGGCAGTGATATCATCATAATTTGCATGGGCGCAATCTTAATTTACGCATAAATACATGACCTCTAGGTCATTGGCTTTGTTTAAAATGGCGCACACCACTGTAAACTGGTGTATTAAGGTTTAAGATCATATCACATGTCTATTTTCTTAAACTCTGCAATCATAATAATACGTACAGTAGTACTTGAGGAAGAACTCACGGGTTACTGAATCTCTTGTATACCGAAGGTCTTTAATGTTTAATATGAACAAAGTACAACTTTCTAGAATTCTACGGACGGAACACTCTGATGAGAATCTTTCTGAAAAACCTTTATATGAAATACAAATTAAAATCCTACACGAATGGCTGATTAGCTGCATCATTAGGGGAACAGTATTCAACCTGATAGGTTGCATTTGGACCTTGCATTCTTCAAAAGGTGACATGTTCAATATTGCAGACATCACTCAATAATATTTTAGTCCTAAAAGGGATGTCTGAAATGGTTTGAACTGACAAAAGAGTAGCATTGGGTCTAGTCAAGATCTTGGTCTAGTCAGCCACTGCGCGGTCAGTGGGTAGGGGAGCACCGGTCTTGGTTAAAGGGAAGGACCATCCTGAAATCAATTTTGAGCGAAAACCAATAAAGCAACTTGAATTTCGAAAGTTATGCATTTTTAAAAAGTTGCAATCAATCAACAACAAATTGGCAACTCTGTGACGTATCTTGCGAGCTCCTCTCCAATTTGCTCTGTACAGAAAATTGTTATAAAGTTATTGATGACGGAATTGATTTGTTTCATACAGGGTTTGTATACAATCTTTTTGCAAAACTTATATTTCGGGTGAATGTATGATTAAAAAATTTTCCTAAGGGAAAATATGAAGTTTTTTTAGAACAGGGCAAACCAGAAGGGAGCTCGCAAGATACGTCACAGCCGATTTTTGCTGACCTGCTTCTCTCGTATTTTGCTTCTATTAAAAAAACTTAATATCAGGGTGGACCAGTGGCGTACGCAGGATTTTTTTTCAAGGGGGGGGGGGGGGGTTTAAAATCAAAAGGGGGGGTTCCAAAAAAAACATACATAAAACATACACATAAAAAATCTCGAGGGGGGGGGGGGTTTAACCCCAAAACCACCCCCCTGCGTACGCGCCTGGGGTGGACTTCCCTTTTGATGAAAGGCGAATTTATAGCAACACCATCGATTGGGGGGGGGGGGGGGGTACAGCGTAGGAACGGGTCCTACATTTTTTCCTTCTTATCATCTTGTTACCCATCTCCGTTTTGTTCTAATGTCTATACGGAGTCCGTTTTCAACGCCATTCGATTTGAGAGGAAGGACCCATTCCTACTAAAGCGATGCTCCATTGCAAACACTTTTAATGGTGTGGACGAGGAGGATACGTCACTTACCAGCTTGCGGATTCTATCGATAACGATGTCAATCTGTTCTTTGCCGACGGTGTAGTGCCCACGGGCGTAGTTGTTGGCAGCATCCTCCTTGCCAGTGATCAGCTGCTCAGGGTGGAAGAGCTGACGGTAGGTACCGGTACGAACCTCATCTGCAACATGATAAAGGGGAGGGGAAATGAGATCATACTGGATATCAACTACCCTTCAAATAGTGTAACAATTTACAGAAAATAACAATTTTCACTTATCGTCTCACAAATTTAATCGCCAATGTTAAAGTTAAAGAAGATGAAGACCATGACATATACGTCCATCGGAAGAACAATAAATTGTGGTATTGAAGAGATGCAGCAGCTGCCGGTAAGTGCTACAGCCCACCAACTAACATCCCAGGATACTCACATCATACTTCTGGCAGCATTCTGAGGATAGGTCGTGGGTTCACCAACAGCACGCAACACAGGACAGCCCTCTCCAGGACAGCGTTCACGCTTTTGGGAAAGTAATTCTTCAAGGTTCAAGGTTCAAGGTTCGATCCTCGGTACTAGTGTCCTTTGGCAAGGCATTAATCCACATTTGCCACTCCATACCGTGGAGAGAATGGGAACCTGATCGGATGACGAAAACCTTTGTGTTAGCAATTGCCATATGCTCTCACGGAGACCATTATTGTTATCGTTAGACCAGACCATTGTTTCTCGTAAGCTGTTGGTCTCAGCGACTTAACGTCTCGTGTGCCGTAGGTTTAGGGGCGGCGATTTATTTTCATGACCGGGGGAACGAAATGCGAGGGACGAGGGAGCAGTGGCGTAATGACCAAAAACGTTGTGGGGGGGGGGGGCAGAAAAAAATTCTGCATCACCACCATTCTTACATGTTACATGCAGGCACCGCGGAACATTTTTCAAAGTGTGGGGGGGGGGGCTGAAGTATTTACGATCAGGTAGAGCAAAGCAAATGGAGCGTAAATTGGCGTTGGGTCCAGGGGCAAAGCCCCGGCGAGGGTCAAGCTGGTTTTAGGCATTTCATTATGGTCAGATGAGCATCCAGGGCCAGGGGCCTGCCTTAGGGCCCCTGGTGGCTTCCAGGGGCGAAGCCTCGGAAGCTCAGGGGTTTTAGGCATTTAATTACTGTCAGATGAGCATATTTTGATACCTTATTTGTGACACTGGCATGCAGGTCACTAAGTGGAGTGGTGTCCGGGGCGGAACCCCAGAAGCTCAGGGATTTTATGCACTAAATTACGATCAGATGAGCATCCAGGGGCACGCTTTAAGGCCCTTGGTGGGGTCCAGGTCCATTTCAACAAAATCTGTAAATCACTGGTATCGAATTAGAAATAAACCACGTATGAATTTTATTGAGGGGGGAAACTGCCCCAAGCCCCCCCCCCCATCAGTACGCCAGTGCAAGGGAGCATAGTGAACGAGAGGGGTGACGGTGACGGAAGTGACTATTCCCTTACAGGTATTTTGAAGTTTTAGTGTATTAAAAGAACTATAGTATAAAAACAAGCAATATTTTTTTTTCACACTTCACTTTTCTACAAAATCTACTTGTACATTTTGAAGATATTATGCGAGGGAGCGTAACTCCCGAGTGAGAAGATTTGTGCATTTTTATTTGTCTAAACGCTGCACTCTTGGACCCTCCAGAGCCTAAAAGTGTGTTGCAGTCTTCAATCAGTATTTGCTATAAATTTTTTCCTCACTTTTTCAAATTTTCCGAGGGGACGATACCCCCTAAAAAGAAATCGAGGGGGACGCGTCCCCCCCCCGTCCCCCTCGGGATCGCCGCCCCTGCGTAGGTTCCATGGTCTGTGAGTCTCATTGGCTGTCAGTCGACATGATTTCCCCACTACTTAAGAAAGACTCTACTTTAACAATTTCATTTGTCTATTCTACACACCTATGACAGTTGGTTCGAGATCGACGAAGACGCAGCGGGGAACGTGCTTGCCAGCTCCAGTCTCACTGAAGAAGGTGTTGAAGGAGTCATCACCACCACCATGTCCATGACCACTTCGACCACCGAGGGAGGCGTCTGAGGGCATCTGGCCATCAGGCTGGATCCCGTGCTCCAGGCAGTACAACTCCCAACAGGAATTGCCTATCTGGACTCCGGCTTGGCCGACGTGGATCGAGATACATTCACGCTGTGGAGAAAAAGAGACGAATATCTCATTGAAAACAAATACTATAAAACCAATGTTCAATATCATAGACATAGGGCATAATTGGGGGCGCCGCATTCGGTCGGGTGGTAGGGGTACACGACCTTTTTGGCGAAGGGTTTTCAAAAAGCGTCGGGTAAATTGGACAAGACCATTTGTAGAGGAGAGGGGTTTTTTCACACACATTACTCCCCCTACTATTCCGTGAATAAAAGGGCATGTTTTCACAAAATATTGAGTAGCTCGACCACCCGACCCGACGCGATGATCCGATGTAAGCGCCTCCCCCCCCCCCCCTTCCGTTAGATTTAACATACAAATCAAACTTGCAGTGGGGACTCACAATCGATCTATGACATGGGACGCTAATTTTACACATCCAGGATTCCTCCTTAGCTACCCACCCCCTCCCTTCACTGGATTCCGCCCCCTGATGTGTATCGAATTCAGGATACGCCATAGCAAATTCTTAAATATGCCCCCCCCCCTGCCTCGTTACACAGCATGGAGTCTAAGGCAACGTTCATCCCAGGCTGTGCTAATTCGTACCGTATGCTATTAAGTATACCTTTAGATTTGTGTGGGTAGTAAGGGAATGATCTATCATCTGGTAAAACTAAAAGGAATGTGGCTTCAATAAAGACCATAAGCACTAATAAGGAAACCAGTCGATAGCATGTACCATTGGAAATCTTATTGGTATAGGCTACATTTTTCATTTATTACTGATGCTGTATGTACATGTATTAACCATTTCTTTGACATGGGCGGCGGAGCGTTTTTCAAAAAGGGAGCTCCCCAGCAAAAAGGGGCACTTTCTAGAAAAAAAAGGGACAACCAAAAAGGATAACCTCAAAGCGAAAAATTACAATCTTTAGACATTGCATATACCCTTACACGAAAATAGATATATTATCAGGTATGATCTTCTGGATTTTTTTTTTACGTGGTCCAATTAAGATACTGCTTCAGCCGAATATATTGATGTTGTATGTGATGGTCTGAATATTCATTTGCAAGCAAGCAAACATTCGAAGATTTTGGCGGTCACATTAATACGACCGATTAGTTCTTAACCTCGCTAGTCATAAGGACCGCTAGTCATAAGGACCGCTATTCATAAGGACCGCTATTCATTAGGACCGCTGTTTATAAGGACCGCTATTCGTAACGTGGAGCTTCCTAAAGGTGAAGGACCGCTGTTCATAAAACGGAAGGGGAGGGGGGTTCACTAATCATAAAGTCATAATGACCGTTATTCATAATATGAGATAATGGTCGCTATTCATAATTCAAATTGTACAAATTGGTGGTGGTTATTTTACCTGACTGCTAAGAAAGCATAAATGCTTGTAAGTTAGCAACCAGACGGCCGACGGCTTTAGGTCCTCTCCGAGAGACCTGGTAATGAGGATTAATGCCTTACCAAAGGGCACTGGCGCATCGCCTTGGTTTCGAGACGGGTCACCGGATTACGAGACCACTGCTCTACCGACTGAGCAATCGCGCCTCCATTTACTCATAAGGACCTCTATTCATCACACGAAATCGGGGTCGCTATTCATAATACGAGAAGATGGGGAAATCTTGTATTATGCATAGCCACTCTCTTCTCATATTATGAATAGCGACCCTTTTCTCAAATTATGAATAGCGGTCCTTACGAATAGCGGTCCTTATGAATAGCGAGCGGACCCCGATGCAATAATCGATCCTGATTGGGTTTTAAAACTTAGCAATGTCATAATGAAAACATTTATAAAGACGTCAATATAATTATTACTTAATCAGATAACTATGAATGAATGCAAACGAGCGTAGAGAGCGAGTTTCGGGGAAATTTAAGAAGAATTTAACTCTCAGTCTTTTTTAATCAGGGGCACATTTTAGGGAGAAATTTACTGTTTCGAGAGAGATATGAGAGATGAGAAAGAAAAAGAAACATCTTGTTAGTGTTAATTCCATTTATTATAATAATATTGATTTTCCTTGAAGTAATCTTGATTTGTGTACAGCGCTTTGAAACTTTTATGTCACAAGCGCTATATAAATTTTTCGTATAATAATTATTTTTATCTTGTTAAGTAGCACATATTATGGTAATCATGTCTATGTATTTTTTAACATGAATGACATTCGGTAATTTAGATGCTTTGAGTTTGAAAACATTTATATTCCTCATCAAAGGGCAATTGATTACCTTGGCATTCTATAAAGTGCAAAAAGGCGTGAGGTTTATAAGATATGTTGGAAAATGCGTCGTTCAGCAGTTGCATAAAATATGTCGTGGTTGAATAAAATATGTCATGGTAGTTTAAATGGGCAAACATTTTAGTGTATAAGGGGCATACTTTTCATACATATTTATAGATATGGAGGGGGAATTTGGCACGTATCAAAGTAAAAGGGGCACGTGTTAGAGATTTTTCTAAAGGGCACATCTAGCACCCGGCCTAAAAAGGGACACTAAGTAGGGAATACGGGCATTTTTAATATTGAAAGAGAAAAGTGGCACTTGTCAAAGTAAGAGGGACACCACATATCTATCATATTACAATAGGGGAACTTATCAGAGGTGAAAAGGGGTACTTAGTAGATAGGAAAAGAGGCACTTATCTGAAGTAAAAAGGGGCACCTTTTCTTTGTGAAAAGGCGCACTTATTAGAAAGAAAAAGGAGCACATATCTGAAGTAAAAGTAGTACTTTTCAAAAAACAAAGGTAACACTGTAACAGTCTTCAGAGTGATTTTGATTTTGAATTACATAAAAAATGCAGATGAACGTTTGAACGACAGGAGAGGGGGACCAGATAACGGATAGATTCCTTGATGAGAAACACTTGGATTTTCAAGAAATTCACCTTGACTCAGCAATCTGAGCAGTCAACACTTCCAGTCAGGAAGAGACCAATTCTTTTTAAAAATCCTATAATCTCAGGGATCTTGGGAAATATGAGTAACAGGGAATTTCCTAAATTTGTGCAATAGTATAAATCTGCTTTACATATCCAGGCAGCTCCTACATGTATATCTAGACAAATAAATCTAAGCTTTACATGTATGTTCTACTGAAAGATTCAGTGTATAACACAGTGTCATAATTTGGTCTACATTTCCTAAAATAATTGAACATATTTTTAGTAACACTATTGATTAGCAAATTCTTTAGTTTTCCGACAGCCAAGTTTAACTATTCAAAGGTATTAAAGGGCAATCCATCATTGTAATAAGCAATTTGAATGAAAGCAGACAAGTAATATAAACGGAATGGCGAAAGTATTTAATAAATCGGACCAATTATAAGAGAGTTATGAATATTTGAAACATGAGATCAATCTTTGCGAATCTGAAGTAGACAATTTGGTCAGTGGATTGTGACGTAGTCATGGGCAACTCCTGTTTGTCGTGCAAAAATACAATTAATTTCTTTTTTTTCTCCTAAGTGCCTTCTCACTTTTGGCAATGTTCTCATTATGTTTTCATTATACATTTCAAACCGAACCTCACTTTTCTGTTACGAAAGGTAAATGTATAAGTTATGTCACCCCCCCCCCCCTCTCCCCCTTCCATCCTCGGTTGTGAGCCATGGCCATGCTCAGAAAAGATCGTGAGATAGAGGAGCAGGAATAAAAGTTTAATTCCGCCCCCCCCCTAATTCTCTCAACAGATGAGAAAGTTGTCTGCCACTACATCACAGAGACATTAGCGATTCGGCCAATTTGAAGAGCCCATACCTATGATAGTGATTACAACTTTTAAACTTCATAACTTTCTCATTTTTCTTCCGTTTTCATTTTAACTTTCATCAGGCTACTTCTCGGATGTTTCTTTCCTCTAGATTGGTTTGCTATAAAGGTTAGATTTCCCTTGAAGGACAAAAACCATCAACGTAAGACGACCAACTTGAAATGCGAGCCACAGTCAATACTGCTGCTCATGAAGTTGGCCTACATCAATTAATCTTGATGAAACGAAACACCTTGGAAATGCATCGCTCATCATGTTGACCTACCTGTGACCTGATCGATGCATGCATCGCGCTGTTGAGCTAATAAACATGTCGCCCATCCATTTATCATGTCGCTCGGTCAAGTCGATGTATCGTAGAACTATTTTATCTATTTCGTTTTTATTAGTGTCCAATGGTGATCATCAAGATACAATAGGTATCAACAGATTTCCCATATTTGGATGGGGGAAGATAAAAGTGATATGTCGCAGAGGAAATTACACCTGATACACGGAACAGCTCGTGACCGTCGTCTATCCGTTCTATTTCTAAAACCAGAATGACTGCACATGCATGATTCTGCTTAATCTACAAAAAAACCTCTTTTTTTACCCTTAACCTTTAATTATCAACCGCCAACGAATGAAAGCTTGAAACATACTTGCCGTCTTACGAATGCAAAATGATTTACTCATCTGTTATTACATAGACTTTTTTTTTAGTAGGATTAACTATACAGTACTACGATACAAGATAATAAACAATAAATTGTCAGCACTTACCATTCTGAGAAATGTTCCGTGGAATGATTTCAAAATTAGCAAAATATAATCTTTACTTCCTGGTCAGTTTCGACAAAGAACTTGGATCTCTTCGCTGTCCGTTACGATGACCGGTCGACGAAAAGAATGTGACTACTTGGAGCAGGCGCTCGTAGATATATATGGGCAAACGATGCTGAGGAAGAGCTCCCCCAGCCCGTTTGCATCAAGCTATTCGTAGTTTAGAGGCACCGACCTATTTGTTAATTCGCAGCTGCTAAATTAGTAATGGTCACAATCAACGAGCAAAACGTATTTGAATCTTGAGAGGGGTTCGTTTTGCATTTTCTAATTGCGCATTGTGTTATACAGGAAGTCTTGGAAATGACCGAATTTGGTTGTTCTTTGTTTTGAACCATTCGGTTTCCAACGCAAGTCTGTTTCATAGAGTTCAAATTTACAGACTAGTCAGCTGATTTGAAGCAGAGTTGTCGAGTGCCGAGAGAGCCGGATGGGTGATATTCTCTTGTTGACAAGTTTCAATTTTACTGTGCTGTTTTTTGCGACTCATTTAGAAGGAAATGATTAGTGGATGTTTTAAAGTTTAACAAATAGCACATTGGCGCAGCCCCAGACAGCCAACTTCATTTGAAGAGAGAGGGGCGTCACGGGGAGGGGGGGGGGGGGGGGGCTGGGGGTGATCCATCGTTCCAAGAGCTCTGTCACTTTAATGCATGAATGTATCTCTAACGAAGGAGGCACGAGACAAATTTGAGGTACATGTTATATAACTCGACTTTACGGAATTCTGTTTTTAATTCCTAGATCCGCAAAAACCCTGAAAGCGTGTTTTTTGTCTTATTTCAATTTTTATTTCCATGTTGTTGTTCTTTTTAAGTTGTGATCAATCAAACATAAATTGGCAACTCTTCGACGTATCTTGCAATCTCCTCTCCAAATTGCTGCGTACAGAAAATGTCATATTTTCCAATTTTGTTTTTTAGTACAATGCAAATGAAAGAGGAACTCGCAAGATACCAATTTGTGTTTGATTGATCACAACTCCAACAATTCATAATTTTCATAGGATTGCTCAAACTTTCACTGATATGTTTCTCTCATTTATCTTCTTAATTTTATCTTGGCACCATACCAGGCCTTTTCTTGCAATTAAGCAATTAGTCTTTGACCTATGCCGTTCCTATTTTACTTTGAAGCGAGTTACAATATCTTTAATGTGCCCTTTGAATTTTTTGTTTGTAACTTTATAGTTATTTTCTTGTATTCCATACTTCACTTGATGTTTCACTTTCTCTCTCTTTCTAGCCCTTCTCTACCGCTTCCTCTCCCCCGTCTACCTTAAGCGGGGGGGGGGGGGGGGGGGTAAGAGCACTTTTTAATGGGGGGGGGGTTAAGAGCACATATATTTTTTGGGGGGATCAACATTTTTGAGCCACTAAATTTTTGTTTGCGGGGGGGGGGGGGATTTTTTCTTCTCGTTTTGGGCGTCTAGAGGGGGGGGGGGGGGGGGCGAGCCGGTAAAATCGGCCCGTGGATCTGCGCTTGCCTTTGCGTACAATTGTAACTGCTTTTAAAGAGTCCTTCCACTTGCGAACTTTCCATTACGTTGCACATTACATAACCTTGTCAATATGCCTATGTAACTAACATGATTATGTATCGTGTTTTTGTTTTGTTTTGTTTTGTTTTTACTTGTGAGTGGAATAAACTGTGCTAAACTTTAACTGAATCAAAGAGTTAGAGAGCGCCTTGACTATACTAAATCATGACGAATTTTTTTTCAGTGAGAATTATTGAAAAGCATAACATTTTAAATTCATCTTAAAAAGGGAGATAAGATAGATGAACCTGACGTCTATTAGATGGGCCCAGTTCGATGATGGGTTAAATGATTACTACTTCAGATACAGGTACATTTGTTTGAGGATGAAAATAAAATACTCTAACCGTAAATCAAACGGGATTTACTCGCTATTAATTAGGACAAATATTCGTAGGGACCGCTATTCGTAAGGACCGCTAATCATAATTTGAGGAAAGGTTCATTATTCATAAGGACCGGTATTCAAAATCGAAGAAGAGGGTCGCTATTTATAAAATGAGAATAGTGTCGCTATTCATAATACGAAAAGAGGGTCGCTATTCATTAGAAGAAGAGAGTTGTTACTTATTTATAATACAAGAATAAGGTCGCTATTCATAAAAATTGAATAGGAAAACAAAATGATAATACCGAGAAAGGGAAATATTGGATGGGGGATACCCCCACGGTTTAGGCGTTGCTTAGGGGGCCACAGATACATACATACATACGTTTCTGAACAACTAAAGCAAAAGGGCATACCCTATTAATGTACGCGACCCATCACCCCCCCCCCCAACTAGTCCGACCACGCTGCGCCATTCGGCAGCAGTATGTGCTTGTTACAAGTACATATATTACCGACAATTTTCGTCAAAGTAGTTGATATCTTCATAACCGCACTTGAGCATCAAATACCCCCCCCCCGAACTGAGGGTCAATATTTTACAAGCAAACTACCTCAGCCACCGTAAATAAATATGAATGTCCGAGTCGTCATCATAGGCTTAGGAGGCGGGGGGGGGGCTGGGGATATTTCATATGTAATGATGTGCTGGTTCTGTAATTATCATTCTCGTGTGTTTGTTACGTTCCCTTTATTGTAAATCTTTATTTTGGTTTGGCTAAAGTAATCGATTCTTTATTAAATATACTTCGTGTGTGAACATGTATCCATGTATACATGGATTTGAATAATTATAACGTGTATTATCTGTGTTTGCTTTGAATTAAGCAAGTCTCGAATTAATTAATATTAATTAATGCCTGCATATTTGTATTTAAGTTCTGTATTTTTCCTGTGTTTGTTCTGTATTTGTCATTATATCCTACCCCCTTAATATTGTTGCTACGAGGGCTAGATATCCCACCGTCAAAATAAAAACAAAACAAATTTCTCACGGCATTGTTTATTTTCATTTTGTTGCAATAGAGCTTATCAAACCTCCTTACCCATCACCACCACCATCACCCCAACCTCAAAAAAGTAAATGTTTGGTTCATACTCGGATCGCATTACCTCTGTGTACGCTACATGACGCGAAAACCTTCAAGGCCCCCTATCCCCCAAACAAAACACAAATTTAAAGTGCCCCCTCCCCACCCCTCTCCAGGCAGTAACTAGGAATTGGATTATTGACTGGTCCAACTCCGTTTGTTTCCGGTGTTAGGAAAGTTTCAGAAAATCAAGATTGTGGATAAATAAAGTTAGGTTAATTAATGTGATTTACTAGTATCCCGAGGTATGATGATACCTGGAAAAACGAAAATCTTGGAACTCCTCATTAGCTAAAATTGAAGAGCTTCTGGTCCTTGACTTCTGGCACTGGATATTGTTAATAGTTGACCACCTGCATGCTTACAATAGACCATACAATACCAACATAGGAGTTGCTATGTCAGACCTACAAAATGACGTCATGAGGCCTAATTACACGTGGAATCTATATTGGCCATGTCGACATGACTGTCCATCTAAACCTAGGTTATCCATGCATTCTTCTTCTGGTGACCTTAAAGTTCATTGAACTGGAAGCCTAAAATAATTTTGTTGTGAAATAATGAAAAACTGAGTGTCAAATTTGAAAGAATATACAATTTAAATGACAAAATCATTTTTGTTTGATCAAAATCGGTTCAGGGACTACTGAAATATTCATAAATATAACGATTTCTAATATTTGTAGTGCCCCCAAAATATTCGATAATTATCATCCCGACTATACCTAGCCTCTTGTCGATGGCCCTGGCGCTATTGGAGTCCGTATAGAGCGAAGCGAGCCTGATAAACCGAGGCGCTTGGGCCCAACAGCGCCAGGGCCATCGACAAGAGGCTAGACTATACCTTGAATATCAACCCTCCTTCTTTAATTTGGGAGCGAGCAAGGCGATCGATCAAACACATGTAAATAAAGTGAAAATAAAAAAATTAAAAAAAAATAAAAAGCACGAAAGACCACCTCGCTGCCCATTTTTTTTTTAAAGGGGGGGGGGGGGGGTTGTAACCACAGCTCCCTCCAACCCACTTTCTAGTCTACGCCTGTAACAGGCCCTGTCAAAGAAGAAGAAATATTAATAAGAATAGGTCAGTGATCATTCTGACGTGAGACATTAGAGAAGTTGGTAGACCCGCTGCTCATCATGCTCGTTCGTAATAGGTCCATGGTAATACCAGGTACATGATGTCCCTGGTAATACCAAGGAGATACCAGGAAGTTTGAATGGCCCTGGTATCCACCAGATATAATCATGACGTCATAGATATTGCAATAGATTACGTCATACCTCCAACGTATTATGAACGCGTGGAACATGTCAGTATTTACAATAAGAATTGACGGCGAGGGCATGTCGTAAAGTACAACGTGCTGATGTCTGATGATATCACACATTTTCTCGTGATGATAAACAGATCCCAATGTACAAGAGGTTAAAGAGGTTATTGTTATACTTCTTTTTACTTATTCGTGATTTGAACTACGAGTACCATTCGCTCTTAAACATGGTGAACGGCATAATGACAGGGACGATTGCATTTTAGCTGGGGTTATTAATGTATTCAGCATCTCGTTAAGAACCATATGAAACATTGATATTTTGTTTTGTCCTCTTCACGTTTGGTTGGTTTAGGGAGTTCGAAGTTCAAAACAACACATAAATAGGGAACTAGAGAGGAGACCTGAAACAATATCTGTACAAATTCTGTGTATACACCAATGTTAAAGACAACCTTTTTGTTTTGTAGTGTGTGTGTGTGGGGGGGGGGGGTGTAGGATTACCTAAGCATTTATATACATATATTTTATAATTATATTAAAGAGCACTTGTAACTTTTTTAATTTTTAAGGGGTCTATAAAATACAAACCATGCTCTTCAATAGACTCCTCCACTATGTTTTTCGGGCCACTGTGCCAATCTTAAATGATCTTATTTGAGTAATATTATTGTTTAATCATTTGTCGTATGTTTGGTTAATATTATGTTATTGAATTTGTATATATTGCATATTCATTTGATTATGTTATATTATGTGAAAAAAAGAAACCTTGAAGCCATGAACTGGACCTGCACGCATAGCAATTTACGACGTGGAGAGTACTGTACAGTTCAGTTACAAAAATCGGTTATGGGGTAGTAGTTAATGAACGTAGATGGTGCTATTCAGTTCTTATTAAGCCACAGATCGACTTGTTGCCGGTTGCTGAGGAATACTGTCAGTATTACTGACTCTTTAAATTGATATAACAAAACCGTGACTTATTTTATTCTTTATCATGCAACTGCTTATTGCACTTGCACTACACCCACTTGATCATCCAGTTTTTCCAAGAGACTTATGTCGCCAATTCTTTTTTTTTTTTATGAGGCCGCCATCCATTTCCAGCCTAACCGCTCACGATGGTGGTCTCCTGCGTTTTAAATTACCTCGTTCTTTGACAAGATATTAATCTATAACTGGGTACCCATAAGGAAGGAATTTCTTGAATACTTGGGTGCCTTATCGTGGTAGCTCGGCTAAAGCCGGGGTAATAACTAGTATGATTGCAGTGAGAACAGTATTAATAATACGGATAAGGCTTCCCAGGGAAAACAAGACCTATTAGTATTATATCGGATTTTAAATTATATGTTTTTAAACTTTTAATATCTCATTTCAATAATTTGCTGTAATATGGTGAGTGATAAGGACGACGACTACGACGATGATGATGATAGCTGTGAATAATAGCAATGAAACCATTTAAAATACCTCAGAACATGAAAGCAAACGTATGCCAATATGACTACGATCATTTTTATCTAAAAGAAATACACAATTTAAACAATTACTTCCTTAAATAAAATCGCATGTATGGGTTTATTAGCAAATGTTATACTGTGCACGGTATTGTCAAGACTTATACATATGAACGATTAAAACATCCCGGCAAAAACATTCATAACAATAGGCGAGCATACTACATCCAAAACACGTCGAATTCTAATTCAATAACAGAGCTACAAAATAATTTAACTCTTTACTTTTCACTATTACGATGAAAACAAAAAGGAAGCTGATTGTATACTTGCATCAAGTATAATACTGGTTAATTTGATCGTAGTTTTCATATACACGTACTTGGCAGTTCGGGGGAAGCAAACTGGTTCAAATATTTTAAAGATTCATTAGGAATTTGGGAGTCAAATCATTTCGTTTCATCATTTATTTAGATTGATTTGATATTCCGCATATACAAGCGCACCATTTTTGGATGAGGAGTAAACATTGTCTAGAATTATATATGGCTTATTCAATTTGCCTTTGCTTTGTTTTGACAGCGAAGCAGCATCCAATTGAATACATCATTCTATGCTACGGTCCTCCCACAATTACAATCAAAAACACAAAACCCTGTAACATGAATACCAACAAAATACACTGAATAACTGGGCATGCTTTCTACCATTCATAGAATGTAGTAATGTAAGTCATAAATTGAACTTGATACGATATACGGTTAGACATGATTATCAGTGCAGCCAACCCTTCGACGCGAATTGGTGAGGAAGGCTAGTGGATGATTAGTTGAATGAAATTAAGTCAAATCAACTTTTTCTACTTCTTTTTGGTACGGCCTTTATGAAATGCACCCCTGTTGACTTAAACGAGACATCTCAGTAGACTAACGGCTCACGAGACCAACAGTCCATAAGACCGGCGTGCGACGACACACCAGACCAACAATGTCGTTCTCGTAATCCCTAAGTATAAGTGTCAGAAGGCCTTTGAGACCGGCATGTCGGCCTCGAAGGCAGTGAGTCTTATTGGCCATTGATCTCCTGAACCCTCGGATAACTTTTCAGAGATCCACTAGACCGACAGTTCATTAGACCGATGGCACACTACACCAACAGTGACAGCCTCGTGAACCCTCAAGAAATAGTCAGAAGGCCTACGAGATCAACAGGGTCAGCCTCTAGGGCTGTCCGTCTTGTAGGCCACCGGTCTTATGAACCCTCATAACATTAATAAGAAGACATACGATACCGATATACAATACAATGTCTCATACAATATCGACCTTAAACCCGCATTGAACAGGTAAAAACTTTTGTTCACCTTTAGCAGGTCATCTGTAGGTGTTTGAATTAAAATGTCAAACCTCAAGGGTATTCAAATTAGGTTTCATCTTTCTCTTATGAGGAGACTACATTATCTCTATCCGCCTCTCTGCTCTAGAATAAATTGGCTACATAAATATAAGAGAATTGCACACAACAGGCATTAACAATATTGCCACAAAGAATACAAATTTTGAATGCATCATAGAATAGCTGCTTATCAGCAAGCGGGTACAATCCTCATAAAAGTGAGGACAACTTTCTAATACTCCTCGATTTCAGCCTCTTCTTCTTCACCATCGTTTGAGTCGACTCCGACTTCTTCGTAATCCTTCTCGAGGGCAGCCAAATCCTCACGAGCTTCGGCAAATTCTCCTTCCTCCATACCCTCTCCGACGTACCAATGGACGAAAGCACGCTTGGCGTACATCAGATCGAACTTGTGGTCGAGACGAGCCCAGGCCTCGGCGATCGCGGTAGTGTTGCTCAACATGCAGACGGCACGCTGAACCTTGGCAAGATCACCACCAGGGACGACGGTGGGCGGTTGGTAGTTTATACCGACCTTGAAGCCAGTTGGACACCAGTCCACGAACTGGATGGAACGTTTGGTCTTGATAGTAGCGATTGCGGCGTTGACATCTTTAGGGACGACATCACCACGGAACAGGAGACAGCAGGCCATGTACTTGCCGTGACGGGGATCGCACTTCACCATCTGGTTGGCGGGCTCGAAGCAGGAGTTAGTGATTTCAGCAACAGTCAGCTGTTCGTGGTAGGCCTTCTCAGCAGATATGACTGGGGCGTAGGTGGCCAGGGGGAAATGGATACGTGGGTAGGGCACCAAGTTGGTCTGGAACTCTGTCAGATCGACGTTGAGGGCGCCGTCGAATCGCAGAGAAGCCGTGATGGATGAGACGATCTGGCTGATCAACCTGTTGAGGTTGGTGTAGGTGGGACGCTCGATATCGAGGTTACGACGACAGATATCGTAGATGGCCTCGTTGTCGACCATGAAAGCGCAATCGGAATGTTCAAGTGTTGTGTGAGTAGTCAGGATGGAATTGTAGGGCTCGACAACCGCGGTGGAAACCTGAGGTGCCGGGTAGATGGCGAATTCGAGCTTGGACTTCTTTCCGTAATCGACGGAGAGACGCTCCATGAGCAGGGAGGTGAAGCCAGAGCCGGTGCCGCCACCGAAGCTGTGGAATACCAGGAAACCTTGAAGGCCTGTGCATTGGTCAGCCTAGACAGTGTGGATGAGAATTAAAAATGTAAAAAGTCACGTATTACAACATTTTCTATGAAAGAATCCCAGTTTTCAAAAAGACGGAAGCTCTCTTTTGCACTTTCATTTCTCCATTGCCATGGTTGTCATCGAAATCTTTTCATGGTTTTCTGTTTAAGAAAAACAACATATACTGATCTGACTTCTTCAAAATTTTCTCACCAGTTTCCTAATCTTGTCCAAGACTTGATCAACAAGTTCCTTGCCGACGGTGTAGTGACCACGGGCGTAGTTGTTGGCAGCATCCTCCTTGCCGGTGATCAGCTGCTCAGGATGGAAGAGCTGGCGGTATACACCGGTGCGGACCTCATCTGCAAGATTAAAGGCAGAAATTTTGTAAATTGCTATACATGTAGGTAGATGTTTGATCCTGTTTGTCAATTGGGCATGTTGTAAAGGTGGTAAATTCATTTGCTACATACATGTAAGTATGGAGGCGTTAATTCAACCATTACGATTCAAAAGGATCATCAAGACCTTAGTGTAACCTAATGTAACAGATTATCTGTTTGGGTGAAGAAGGGGTATGTTTGTAAATCATTTTTGCAAAGATTATTAAATTGATCTACAAATCGTAATCTTGCAGAAAGTATTGTAGTAAATGCAAGCTCAAGACTCACACCTTAACGTCATAACAAGTTTAAGATATCTTACCGACTACGGTTGGCTCGAGATCGACGAAGACGGCACGGGGAACATGTTTGCCAGCTCCAGTCTCACTGAAGAAGGTGCTGAAGGAGTCATCACCACCTCCGATGGTGCTATCAGCAGGCATGTTACCATCAGGCTGGATGCCGTGCTCCAGGCAGTACAACTCCCAACAGGCATTACCGATCTGGACTCCGGCTTGGCCGACGTGGACTGAGATGCATTCACGCTGTTATACATGAGAAATAAAAGAGAAGAATGTACTGCTAGTAAAGTACTTATGAATAGGCTTATCGCATCGCCGAGGTAGGGGTATAATACATTTTTTGTTCATGTGGAAAAAAGGGGACAAGAACGAAGTGGGGTACGCCGCGCGCGCCAATAATGAAATGAGAACACACTTTCTCCAGTAGAGAAGATAAGCCATTTTAGCCACTGGTCCAATGTTAATTCCAGCAATTACCAGGGCAAGTATACTCCCGCGAAAACTAACTTGGAAATCTAGCTCCTTAAACCCCCGTAGGACAAATATCACCGGGCAACGTATACTCCGAATGGCCCCAGACAATATACCCCCAGTGTATGGTTGTCCACGAGGTTTCGAAGGTTTAATTATCGTACCTTGAAGTTTTCCGCGGAGGTATTATTTGTTCGGGAATAATTTTCTTAGGTGACTACCCTCAGTCTTTTTTACGAGGGGTAGTTGTCTGGGGGGGGGGGGGGGTTGTATGGAGAGGAATACTCTATAATTCTCTCAAATAGTCTCATACAATGCACCACTTTGAATTACTAAATAATCCCTGATGTAAGCATACATTATTGAACAGTTTTCGAACATAAGAGGATCAACACTGAGTCACGTGATGGTCTGAACTCCTTTTTTTTCTAATCAAGTGCCGAGCTTATACCCCAGTCAGACCAACACGAAGTATACCAGACCGACATCGGACCTAATACATTTACACATTTACCCGGATAACCAAGAATCGGTCGGTTGGAGTCGATTCGGAGGTGAAACTGAGGCATGGTAATTATTGGTAAACTAATGATTGAGATCAGTTACTGTTGTACTTGTGTTATTACTTTTAATAAACGTGTTAAAGCACTCGGGACCAAACATTGCAATGAGTAGTATTGAACAGCTACATCAGATGATCCCCTTTGATGATCTCGAAGTTTTATAAGAACGGGATGACATCATCTCCGAAATCACAATCGCGTGCATCACATTCATCCATTAACCATAATGCATTTTGCCCGCGACTGGATCTCAATGTATATGCAAGCACATTGTCTATGCTAATGACATCATTACTGGTTCTAATTTCGATTGCTCATTCACAGTGAACAGTGAACAGGGCATCATGATTGAAAGCTTATATTAGCCAAATTATTTCGATGCAATTAAATATATCGGGGGGGGGGGGGGGCAAATGTAACGGGGAGTATCAATCATACGTCCCTATATACGCCGCTACCTTCGAATGATGATTACCGTTACAGCAGATGTCCCCAAATTAGATGACGGTTTATTATTGATTTATAGCCTTGACTGTGTGATTTGTAACTGAACGGACTAATAGTAATATTTGGAGGAAAAAATGCAATTATTCACAATTGAACAAACTGATGTTTGATAGAATAAATAATCAAAAAGTGTTTTCAATTACATATATACATGTAATTCCAATCGTAAGTATTTCATGCAGGGGATATCATTCACAAATTACAAGAGCATATTAAACAAAATTATCAAGAGAATAATGAATAATTATTTGTGGAACAACAACAATTCGGGTTCATACAATAACGGAATGGAATACACAAAAGGGGGAAATGAAATTATCCTTTGTCAAAACTCTTAGAGATAATCATTTGTCACGCCATCGTCTTAAGCTATCGTCCAAAAATACCCAGGAAACAAATATACGGAGAGCTGGCAAAAAATGCACAGCTCGTTTCTAAAATTACCCAAATAAAAGACAAACTGACAAAATTGGAGGGCGATGTCCAGCTACATGCGCATGATGCACGTAGCATCTTCCTCGTTCGTTTTGCTTCACGAGGAGTGGCAGGCATAGAGAGATGGGAGATCCCTAGCCGAATAACTTAACGACTATGAGTCATCCGAATAATTCCCTCGTTTTGATCAGATGGAGGGATAGAGGGTAATTTGAGGCGCCACCCAGTACACGGTGTTCCATGAAAATAACGGTGTTTGGGTATAAGGTCAGCAGTGCAACAAAGTTATCGGTTAATCAAGAGTAGATAAAAACACATAATTTATATAGAGAGAGGAGAGAGAGAGAGAGAGAGAGAGAGAGAGAGAGAGAGGGAGAGAGAGAGAAAAAACTGGAGAGAGGGAGGGAGAGAGGGAGAGAGAGAGAGGGAGAGAGAGAGAGAGAGAGAGAGAGAGAGAGAGAGAGAGAATAAGGTACCAGGGGAGAAGAGTCGGAGGAATGGGAAAGAGTTTTAGAACAGAGATGGAAAGAGGGGTAGGAGACATGGGGGAGGGCAATTAAGTATAGAAATAAAGACATACATCTAAAGGAGAGAAAGAGCGGAATAGTGGCTGATGACAAGAAAGCAACGAATTAAAGGTAGAGTAACAGAGAAACAGGGAGAGTGAGAGAAACATGGAATGAGAGAGAGAGAGAGAGAGAGAGAGAGAGAAAGGGAGGGAGAGAGAGAGATAGAGAGAGAGAGAGAGAGAAAGGGAGGGAGAGAGAGAGAGATAGAGAGAGAGAGAGAGAGAGGGAGAGAGAGTGGGAGGGAGAGAGAGAGATAGAGAGAGAGAGAGAGAGAGAGAGGGAGAGAGAGTGGGAGAGAGAGAGGGGAGAGAGAGAGAGAGAGAGAGAGAGTGGGAGAGAGAGAGAGAGAGAGGGAGAGAGAGAGAGAGAGAAGAGAGAATGAGAGAAGTGACAGGGAGAACAGCGATCAGGATATAGGAAGGGAGAAAGAGAGAGCTATTGGTAGACCGCCCCCATACAGTAACAAAAGTAAAGGATTGTATGATATAAAGAAACCAAAAAAAAAAAAAATAATACACATGATAACGCAATTGCAATATACGAAAAAATCTGTCAGACCAATAAACGTCAGTCGATGATGTATTTTATTTCCGCCATGATTACCATAAGATTCACTATTCGATAATTGTGATGATTTTGTTACATTATAAGGCATTTCATTAGCTACTACTGTATATACACGTCTATGTCTCAATATAATGTAGTACATCAAAGGCAAAATGTTTCCTCTTGACGCATAATGCCAGGCACTATTTTCTGTCCCTTTTTTTATGACACACCGTGTTATCCTCCGAAAGCAAATCAGATGGCGGCAACAAAATTCCTCTCCTTGCGCGATGCAGGGCGAGTTCATCATGGTCGTCTGCATGCATAATACATAAGGGAACACGGCTTGCCCTGCTAGCACCTTAGCAGCATAAACAGGGGCCTAGCAGACAAGAAGTTTCAAAGAAAGGGCTCCTAGGAGTCAGGGGGGGGGGCGCTAATGTTATCGCCAAAATGTATCCATCGTACTGAATTACCGAGAGTTCCTCTTCATCATAAGACTCGGCTTTTTTTGTATCTATTGTATTAGACGGTGACAATTGCCCCCCCCCCCCCACTGAAGTTCTTTAAATTATCCGTGTTAAATTTAATAATGACTTGCACTTGCCAATTATCACTGCATGCTCTTGAAAATCAATAGATTTTCATTCAAACTGTCATTATTATTATTTATTTTGGTGGGTGAGTTTGCCTGTCAGGGTTTGTGAGTCGTGCCCCAGGCCTTCACTTTTACAGCATCCAAAATTATAATTTGTTTGTTTTGCGTACATGTAATGGGTGGGATTCTAAGTCCTATGATTTTGAATGCAAAAATTGAAGTTTTTTTTTTCTTCTGCATATGCGGATTCTGGGTACTTGTAAAAGAGAATGGCCAGGGGCACAATAAATCCTAGCAAGCAACAACAACGACAAAAAATATTTACAAACTAAGAAATGACATGATGTAGATGCGAATTCATCGCCAAATATATTCCAGCAAGCAAAAAAACAAACAGAAGGAAAAAACACTACAAAGTAGGGGTATGTTCCTTGAACCCCGGGCTGAATTTCATTTTAAAAGGGATTTACGTATACATTGCGCCCTTTGCATTCGCCATTGTATTAGGTATACGCCTGGTAATAGATATACCCAAAGAAAAGGTTTTATTTGTTGGGATTGGGGGGGGGGGAGATGTCCTACTTCTTCTTCGATACTTTCATAATTTTAACCCCAAATTTTTCATTTTTTTTTTTTTCGCTAGAAGAGATTTTTGGGGTAGAGTAGAACTTGATTTTAAGGAAATTGAGCCCCCCCCCCCCTTTTTTTTTCTTCTTAAAAAAAAAAATCAAAAAATCCTGGATCAGCCCACTGATTAACGGCATATAATATAAACGCAAAGTATAATCCAAGAACAACGTTATCAAATGAAAAGCAACTTAGGCTCTTAAACTTCTGCCAAAAGATTAGAACTGAAATCGCATTTTCCACAACGTTAACAATTCTACCGAAAATTTATGATGGACGTTTCATTTTTGAGAAGTGACGTTGCACGGTCTCCTTGATTCGGCCTCGTACTGTGACTTATGAAACGGTCCTTGATTTTATGCATCTTCCGCATCGCCGCATTGCCTCTCTAAATTATGTCATGATCTATTTATAGCACATAACAGCAACGCATTTTGATATACAGCTGATGATTATGATGGAGAATAGAAATGGCAGGCCAGCAACACTTGCATATCAAGGTAGTCGATAAAGAAATGAATAAGATTATGATATTTAGTACTGAATTAACTGAGTTACATGTTTAAATCGCATACAACGTCATGGATAACAATGATCTATATGGGACACACCCGAACACAAAACACAGAATATATACCGCATCATTTAACTTCTTGTTTCTAATGAAAAGCTTACTGTAATAGATGCTCTCTCTTATTCATCCTATAATATGATCTCAAGACACTCACCATTATGATAAGATTTGAGGAGAAAAGAAAAGATGATGATGATGATAATGATGATGACACTCGATGAGATGACGTGCTCACGAGAAGGGCATTGAAAAGAGGAAGATGAGGAGGACAAAGCAAAGAATAATCGCCTCTCAAAAATAACGATATAAAATACACCGAGATATAAAAACCACTGAGACAGAACAGCTAGGAAAATATCACAATGAGGCAATGAAAATGGCAGATTTTGGTGTCCGATTTCGGGCAAATGACAAAAGATTTGTCGCGGAAGAAGGAGAGAAAACGAGCTAGCACTGGAACGATGAAGCGAAGTCGCGTATTGTGATGTCACAGTCTCAAGAAATCAACATCGATGCATTCTCCTTGCATGCGTTGCGTGTACAAAGCTGATACCTCCCTTCCCGTTCTCCCTCGCGCTCTCTTACCCTCTAATCTGCTCTCTGCGTGAAGATCTTTTGTACCTAATTTACATTATTTATCCAATTCAAACCTTGCCAGCCTGCTTATCTCATTTCCTTGGAACCCTAGGCATTAGTAGCTGCTCCCTGCGTTATTCATAATTTAGGGAGAGCTAGTAGTGAGTAGTAGTAGTATCTCTTTGGTAGTACTGGTAGAAAGATGCGTTTGAAAGGAAAGAGAAATGTATTGCTTTTTGCTCTCGATTAGCGGAAAGATTGTATCTTGAAGTAAATTAATGGATTAATTCTCTGAATAAAATATTGCTTAGCTTCCAAGAGATGTCTAAATTAGTGCATAATTCGTCCCTTTTTTCACGAAGTGACGGTAATGAGGAAAATCGCGAATAAGTAGTTGGTAAATGTCTTTGTGACAGAGGCTTATAAGTTAAAGGTGAAATTCAAAGAAGATCACAAATATGTCAACTAATGTATCACTAGAAACTGGTAAGCTAACAGATGGCCATCGGACAAGTTTTAGGTCAACTACATATCAGGTGGTTTATAAAAATACAAATACAACCACCTCCACAGCAGCTGGGATATACGAGAGATTCGCCGGAAAAATAACGATGTTTTAATGACGTCACTTTATGGACCAACACTGCCCAAGCAGACGACATCCCATAGAGAATGAACATAATTGCAAAGCTATTATTTCTCAAATTATAATGAGTTTAGTGTTTATAAATGTGATGACATGTCAAACCTTTCAAAAGGGAATATGACCCGATTCTGATAACTAAATCGTTTGTTTGTGAATACACAGGATAGAGGTTAATTAACAATTAAAAAAACCAGACTTTCAAATTAAAAAACCCCCGGAATGATATTAAGGACGGCATTTGTTCCCTCTTGAAACGCCGAACACACCTCGGTGTGTGCAGCTGAATATACAATGGCATCTTATTTTGTTTACAAGCGACAGATTCCTTTATTTTTGTATCGCTGCATTTGTCATCAAAATAAAACCATGCGCGGGGTTTAGAGTGAGGCAATAGATTATACCTTTAGCCTGACGGTAGTGAAGTAAGAGAAAGAACTCGAAAGAAGATGAAAACACAGGCACTGAAAATGTTTTAGACGTCTGCTTGTGCAAGTCATGTCCATTCTGTGATCTCACACATCTCAGCAGCGTTCTGAGAGCTCTTCAGGTGCTATGCCGGGGCTGTCTTTAAGCGTTTTGTAATTTATAATAATCATTACTTAGAATGTTTCCAAGCATTGAATTTTGATAACCTTATCGAATCAAAGTTTCAACTTTGAAATAATGAAAATAAAGTTAGTTTTCAAAGTCAATGAATATGTACTTTAAGAATAAGAACGAAGTTTTACTTTTAACAAAAGTTAGACTTAGAGTGTAGACCCTACTTTTGTTTTAGTTTTAGGTTTACTTGTACTTTTAGTATGAGTAGTTTAACTATTTGTACATTTCATTTAGAGTCTATAACTCTAGATCATCATTTCATAATTATCAATTTATGTCAGCCACTAGTCAGTAATCTAGAGGTGAGTAGATCAGGATCTAAACAAAACTGAGTCACTGTGACTTTACTTGTTAAGGTGTGCTTGGGGTGTAAGCAGCTTCATGGCTCCAAGCCAAAGTCCAACAACATGGCCAAGGGCAAGGGGAGTTATGAAAATTGTCATGATTTTATCGTCTAGACGTATTGCAAAAGGTAATCAGGATAATAAGGATCAGAATGATACTTATACTACTCGGCCTACTTCTACATGGACTATACTTCACTACTGCCATTGTAGATTATGCTGATAATACAGATGAAAAAAAATATGATAACAATTATAATAATACTTCTTACATCAATCGTCATCATAATCATCATGGTTATATTCATCATAAATGATAAAAATAATGATAATAATAATGACAATAATAATAATATTAACGATAAAAATCATAAGGATAATAATTACAATAAAAGTTATAATGATTACAAAAATAGCTCAGTAACACTACCAACCATAATAATAGTTATAATAAAAAATTGTTGTCATTATCATTATGATCCTGCTGCTAATACTACTCCTACTACATGTACTAGGAAGAAGGAGGGGAAGAGGAAGAATCTTATTGTTTATTTTCTGTGTTATCGAGGCGTACAAATGCACAAGGAGGTAAGAGAGGTAAAAATAAGGCGATGAAGAGGGAGAGAGGGGAGAGAGAACGAGAGGGGGTAGCCTATGGCTGGGTTCAAATTCAGTTCTCTTTAATTTATTTGACCCAGTACTGATGATCATAATTTTATCTACCATATGATTGCCATGTTTACGCTACACCGAATCGCACCTCAGATTTATTTATTGTCGTAAAGAACTTATTGGCATGCACTCAGTAGATTTTCATCATGTGTTTGATCTTGTTATTGAAAACAAGGTCAAACACATCATCATAATCTACAGAGTGCAACTAAAAAAATATTAACAACAATTAAAATTTCGTTCAGGAAGCCTAACAATAAAAGCTGTTTTTTATTAAATTATTATTGAAGAGCAGCAAAGGCGAATGCGATTGCCGCTACAATTCAGAAATCGTTGCTTGCATTGCTTTTCTCTCACAATTACCGTGAGATATCAAGCTACATAGAACTATATGATCGACAAAAAAGATATTGTCTTGGAAACAGTCAGAAACATTAGAACTTGAATGAATAAAACATAATGCAAATGAATAAGACTAGAATGAATAGGACACAAGATCATTTTTACCATTTAAATCATTCATCCAGTACCAAATACCTAAGCAAAATTCGAGCCAGTTGCATTTAATGGTTAGCGTCAAGACAATGATTCATGACAATTGTCAATTGTCATGATTTTATCGTCTAGACGTATTGCAAAAGATAATCAGGAAAATATGGATCAGAATGATACCTCTACTTCTAGGCCTACTTTTACATGTATTATACTACACTACTGCCGTTGTAGATTATGCTGATAATACAGATGAAAATAAGATACGAGCCGTTACTTCGTGAAAACAAAATCAAAGCGTTCTATGTCATTTGTGTTTACACGAAATGACGGTTGTGTTAAAAGTTCAAACAGAGGAATAAAAAAGCAGCTACAGAAAGAAGAAAATTTACTCCATCTAGTAGTTCGAGTTAGGCTATCTGTTCATCAATAAACATAAAGTTTTGCCGTATTTAGTGTCCATTAAGGGAATTCCATCCACGAGAGAAAAATCCCGTATGTTTAACGCGCGCGGCTACGAGCCGTCACTTCGTGGAAAAAAATTACAGCGCGTCCTTGAATTTCGTGCTTTCACGAAGTGACGTTTATGTTTACAGCTCATTTCCCCCAAAAATATAAGAAATTATGGAAATAATTAAACATAGAACAAAACATTGAGATATGTTCTATCCCAGGATATAATATTTATTTGCCCTTGATACATTAAAGAGGTTGATATTATAGTTTGAAAGTTTGAAAGCGATTTATTAAAAACTTACTTTCTTTTAATTGCGCGCTCATCCGTCACTTCGTGAAGATAGGAACGAATTCGTGATTATAGGAAGAAACATGATTTCGTCTTTTCGGAGCTAGGAGGGCATAACTTATATATCGTTTTTATACAGAATTAATACCCGTCTAGCTTTAACCAGACAATTTCATCTTTCATTATAGGGCATGCTATTTGACAATCCCATAGGACAAGTCATGTTTTCAATTAGGCTTGCCAACTTATTTTGACATGAATAATGAGTTCATCTAAAATGAACATTAAGCCAAAAACAACTGGAAATTAACTCAAACTTCTGAAAAGTTGTGATACTCAAATATTTCTTACCGAATTTATTGTACCGAATATGAATTTTTCTTCTTTCTGGTATCACCTCTCGTGATAATGGCAAGATATTATAATACTCTGTAAACTTGTAGATCTACTCAATATCAAAGTCAGGGAAACTTTTGTGTTGTCTATTTAAACTACAATGTAGGTATATGCATCAGGTAAATATGTACACATGGAAAAATAATTGTACAACAAGCTAAAATCCTGTCCAACAACAAACGAGTTTATTGACTTTGGTAGCTGCATGTATACCTGACTTTTCCGTCGCTACCTAACGTTCATGTTTAGTACACGAGCAACAGGTCACCTAGATGTAAAAACAGGAGTCCTATGACGGCGTTTCAGGGGGCACGACGGAAATAGCCCTACCCCATGATTAAAAAAAAGGGCTACCTTAAAGTTAATGTGGATGGCTCACGATATCGATGAACGATCAGCCTCCGAAATGGGTTGTAGCCCCCGCCCCAATGCTCCCCCCCCCCCCCCATTTAAAATGTCCTTGAACTGTCATGTTAAATATTAGGGCACTTTTGTAACATCATAATGAATTGACATTGATTCTCGATTGAGCTTGACACTAAGGTCATCATAGCACTGAAGTACTTCCGGAGTTTAGAACAACCTTGATCTCGATCGGGGCGTCCATCCTGGACCAGTTATGGTCATGCGATTGCATTTGAAGAACATATTACTACCAATACGATTTGAATGCTGGTGTGAGGAAATAAGATTCTTAGGGGAACATGGGAAATTTATTTTATCGATATAAAAAAAAACAATTAGTGGATAGTGAGGCAATGGCGCCACAGACTCATGAGGAAGTTGCCAATTTGTCTTGTGATTTTCAAAGTTTTTCATGTCATTAAAAGTTCATAACTTTATATTAGTGATCCGTTTTTGCTCAAACTTTTTTGATTGTTTTGTCTGATTTTGCTGCTTCTATCGACAGTAAGTAATGTTGGAGTGGACTGGCCCTTTAATGATAATTAATAGAAACTCTCGAACCATAAAGTACTTGGCCTAAACTAAATATACCCCACATCCTTTTTTTTGTTGTTGATTTTTTGATTAATTTGTTTTCCTTCTCTTTGTCAATGTCAACGTAGTTGCCAACTAATTAGCATTACTTTCTTTTTGAGAGAGCTACCCCTTTTTAACTTTTAAATTTCCCAGAATACACTCTTCCATATTCTTCTTCCATAATTTGTCTTGCGCCGAGCGCTGTTGCATGTTCCCCATTTTCATTTTTGACCAGTTTTTCCTTTTACTTTATTTCAACCCCATCATATTAACGCAACAAATGTATCTTGCACTTCTAACCCTCAAAATAATCCCTCCCCATCCCCCCCCCCCCAGATTAGTAATTCCGGTAGTTTGTATAAGCCTTCGCTTTACTGAACTACTTTCATATTATTTCCGTTACAGCATCCGTTTAAAAGTATCAAAATCGAACTTGAACAAATAATTTTTTTACTCAAATTTTAATTCGATCACTTTGCCTAATAGTTTGTAGATGATCGGGCGTTTATACGGATATCTTGTGTTACAACTAAAATCGCTAGCATTTTGTTGGAATAGCAACACTTTTCCAAGTTGTGTTCGATTGTTTAGAAAAAGGGCTAATTGCGACGAATTAACTACAATTCTCTCTCTAGATGTCTGTTTGTTCTCGAACGTGAGTATCCAATTTACAAAATTCTTTGTCTTATGGCAGGCTCATCAGTATAGTACTTCTATAAAATAATCAGTAAATATTCCTTTTGCAGATTGATTTGCCATATAGTGGGATTACCTGCTTTTTACGCCTTCGAATTTGCTTTATCGTTTTCTACATTAGAAAATCTTACTTCATATTCGGCATTTATTTTCTTATAAAAAACTGAATAGATAGGCGTAATTAATGGGCGGTTCCTATCGAAATATCATAATGTTTTAGTGATGATATCCATACAATTATTTAGTTTGTCAATTCCATTACTTCAATATATCCTGGCTTTACAATGCAATTTCATTTCTAACTTTTCTTACATTTCTTATTCGCCTTGCAAATTTACTAGTACTATATTTTACTAGATCACTTACAATCTCCTTTTAAGGAAAAAAATTTAAGGAAAAATGCCTAAAGTCATGATATCAATTACACAATAAATTGAAGAATAAACCCAACAAAAACAAAATAGAATTTCTTCCTTGTGTACAAAGTCTTAAACTTCATTTCTCTTCTTTTTAAAACCCAACAACGACAGCGATGACATTGTTCTTTGTTATGATAATGGCGATAATGATACTATAAGGAAGATGTCGATGTTAATGCCTTTAAGACTTAATCAGTGTCAGAAAGTAATATTTTCTTGTCGGTGTTTTAGGTCTATCGATCCACCACAGCCAAAAGATGGCGACTCAACTTCTGGCGGTTCGACCTCTGGCGAATCAACTGATTCTAAAGTCGCCATCCCAAGACATCTTGGTCTATGGGGTTGTGTGTGGCATACGGTAAGAAATAATTCAATTTTATGAACCCACGCCCCAACATCTATTGTGATCAGTCTGTTAACATAAAGTCTACAGCACATAAACATCATCTTGTATGAGGATGATTACCCCCACGGACTATCACCTAGTCCACTGCCTGGACTGCATCCGTGTCGCGCGCCCAATCAGTGGAGGAAATAACACACCCTCAACGGGTGTATTTTAGGGGATCGCGCGATTAGTGGAGACACTAATCCGTGAAGGCAGTTTGGCTTATCCTTATAATTACACTGTTTCCATTATTTCATTATACATTTACCTTTTGTACGATGTCGACATAACATTAACATGCTATCAGTTGTTTTTAATTTGAATCTCTAATTCAATACCCCCAAAACCTTTACTTTACCTTACTTTATCTTTTTCGCCGAAATATATATAGGCCTCCTATCACGTGTACAATGTCGTGATGCATGAGAGTATGGTGTGTCCAAAACTAGAAAATCATCTAATTCAATTTTTTCTATTGCAAATAAGACCATGAATAGCATATATTTTTTTCATTGCATGAATACTGCTGAGATTTCAATCATTCCCAAGCCCTTCAAAGACGGCAGGTAACTTTTATAGCTCTGCCTCAGTAGGTAACCATAGCGTGCCTTTTTCTGTCGAGAACGGCATCGATGGACCCAAATATTGTGATCTAAATCGCGACAAAAGAGATTATAGAAATTTACAAATTAAGAACCTATCGGTCTCGCAACCCTGTGATTACACTTTAAAAGGCCAGAGAGACCGTTGGTACCGGTCTCATGGGATAACGGTCTCGCAAAACCTGTGAAAACACTTCAGAAGCCCGTGAGACCATCATTGCTGTTCTCATTGGCGATCAACACTGCTGGTCTCATGAGCAATTGGTTCCCTTTAATTCTTCATATTTTGTGTGAACTAATTTAATGTACTTTGTATTTTACCTTCGAAATGATTTTTATTTTGTTCGATGAACTGAATCATTAATATACATGTAGACTGACCATGGGGCATCAAACATCGCCTTGGTCGGTGACGCAGTGCTACGTCAGCAAAATAACGCCTCGTGTGCAACAGGCATGACCCATCTAACCTTTGACCTTGATTTGACCCCTGACCTTTAGGTCGGGAGTGTTATCGGCACAGGCATCTTCATCTCGCCTGCGGGGATCCTGCGGGGTACCGGTGGGTCGGTAGGGCTAGCCCTCATCTTCTGGGTAGTTTGCGGTGTTATCCAGACCTGCGGGGGATTCGTCTATGCCGAGCTGGCCGTCATGATAAAAAAGTCTGGAGGTAAATATTTAGAAGCCAGAACAGCGTCAAGTCTTTCATAACAACTACAACACCACCACCACTAAAACAACAACCCTTCTCGAGTTAAAGCCCTTCTGGCTCTCGACAGCCTGATGAGAAATATAATTACTAGTATCTCATCTGGTTGTTAAAATTATTTGTTTCAGTTTTTCTCTACAGGTATACAAACAAAGATAGAAGAGGGGGAGAGAGAAGGGATAGAGAGGGGGCACTGGCGTATCCACACCTTGTCCTTGGGAGCAAACCGTCTCAACTTAATGTGATCCAAGTAACTGTAGTAAAAAAAACTTTTCTGTGCCCTTTGTTTGCGATACGGGTGGGGGAGGGGCGAAATGGATTTTCATTGAAATTCGCCTATGGCTACTTTTCGTGCATTTCAATTATTTCCCTACTTGCGAACTGTTAGGTCATATTAAAGAGTTGCTGCATTTCTTTTTCACCTTTGAAATATGTGATGGTGGTGGTGGTGGTTATTTTACCTGACTGCTAAGATAAATAATTGTAAGTAAGCAACCAGACGGCCGACGGCTTTAGGTCCTCTCCGAGGGACCTGGTAATGAGGATTAATGCCTTTACCAAAGGGCACTAGCGCATCGCCTTGGTTTTGAACCCGGGTCACCGGATTACGAGACCACTGCTCTACCGACTGAGCTATCGCTGGAGGGGCAAATTACCCCCTTGCATATACGCTCGCGGGGAGTTGAGATGTACAAAATCAATCAGGGAGGGGCTACTAAAGAGGTCCAAGCTTAGGATCCATTTGATGACTTCATCTAGTGTAATAAATATATTAACCCATTTTTGTATTCGGGAGGGGGCACATGACTCTGTCGGTATACGCCACTGATAGCACCCCCTCCCTTCCCCGTAAGAGTCAGTCTATTGATTCTGTTCACGTATTTACCCATACACCTTCTATTACATTAACCTTGCAGGGGAAGTGACTTTTATTCACGATGCCTATGGTCCCGCGGTCGCCTTCCTAAAGGTCTGGATCATCATCTTCTTCCTGACCTCTGGTTCGGCTGTCGTCGCTGTCATCATCCCGGAGTACCTACTCACCCCGTTCTTCCCCTGCTCGGGGCCTCCAATCCTCGCTGTACGATTCATGGGCATCTGTGTTGTATGTGAGTGACGTCATTATATATAATGGTGCAGGGGCGGGACCAGGGTTTCGTTTATTGGGGGGAGGTAACAAATCAAATATGAATAAATGAATAAACGATAAACAAATAAATGCATGATCAATAAATGAATAGTTAAATAAATACATAGATGAATAAATCAATCAATAGATAAAAACGTGAATAAATAAGTGAATTGATAAATGAACAGATCAACAAATAGATACAATTATTTTGGATTTGAGGGAGGGTTACCGGAGCCATTTTCTCATCTTTTGATCTTCCGACAGACAACCCCCCCCCCCCCCCACATACACACAAAATCCGAGAAGGGTCGATCGAGATCTAGAAAAATAATTTTAAATAGAAAAGTATAGAAGATGCTTAAGGCTTAAAATGCTTAAAATATAGACAGAGACAATAGCGAGCAGGGCAATAAAGAGGGGGAAATAAAAAGGAAAAAATAGAGATTAGGGAATGTAATCATAAAGCAGATATTTTATGTCAGAAATATTCGTCTATATAATTGTTTTACAAACATTTTTTACACACAGTTTTGATCTTATCCCACTTTTATGAAAGTTTTCCTAATTGCAATAAACTGTCTGAGCGTCAAAGGACCTACTCGCTTTGCTGGGTTCTTTACGATCACCAAGACCATCGGGCTTATAATTATCATCGTCACCGGCATGTATAACATCGCTAATGGTAAGTCGTGACTCTTCCTCTCCCCCCCCCCCCCCCTCCTCTCTCTCTCTCTCTCTCCCTCTCTCTTTCTGTCTCTCTCTCTCTCTCTCTCTCTCTCTCTCTCTCTCTCTCTCTCGCTCGCCCTCACACCTCTCCCCCTCTATCTCTCTCTCTATGTCTTTATTTCTATTTCTAAAACATTCGATTTTATCATCAAAATTCACTAGCTAAGAACTAAAAATGATATAATCTTATACATTGCTGCCCGAATAGTTGTAACTCTAAAGATCTTCGGAGGAGTGCCTAGCCCCCCCCCCCTGCCCCCCCCCCCCCCCCTCGTACGCCTATGACTGCAACGGAGCAGTTGAGTTGCAAATTTCAGACAAAGTAGTTTTCTATTCACTTCTTCAACTAAAACGCAAAAGTAACGCATTCTCTGGAGGGACTGGCAGTGCCCGGCAGTGCCTTGAAGCCCACTGTCCTACTTGTAGCTACTTGCTCCCTCTATATAGAAATCTTTACCAATCGGTGCCTGTTGGTCCCCATGATCCTCTTTTTCTTATGTTAGTTGAGAGCTGAGTTAATGAGATAGCCACCTGTCAGTGACCTCGCTGTATGGTCTAATCCCTTCTGGCCCAGTAGTATTGACAGTCTTCAAAAGGACGTCACATTGCCTTAAACGGATTTCACATGCAGCAGTCCACGTTCTCGTCGTGCATATCTAAAAGTCCCGAATATAGATATCTTGACTGCTTTGAGAGGCATAGCTAGATTTCTAAAGAGAGATATATAAAGTCAATTAACTTAGTTATTATACGCTATAATTCATATTGGGGTGCAAAATTACGATATCCTGAAGCAACACATACGAAGGAGCAAAACGACTGCGTTTTTTTAACATCTTGAACCTTCAGTACTCTATTTCTAATACAATTTACTCTCTGTATTGGGGCAATCAATCCTTGAGGACTATAATTTCTCTTTCTTTCTCTTTCCTCATCCTCTCTTTTGCATTATGTGCGCCCCTTCAAGTGCCGCCCGGTTCACGTGCCCCCTGCCCCCCTAGAAACACCAAGGCGACATTAACAAATAAGCCACTTCACTGCCCTAATATTAGTTATTTCAAAATTATGGGGATGCATATGGAAACGTTGTATCATCCGCTCAATCTGACTTGCGTGCACAACAAATAACCTTTTTTGCATGAATAAGTAAAGTTTTCAAAAAAGTGCGTTTCTTTCCAGCATTGGGGTGCCCGGGAGTCACTTTGGTAACCTTTCAAAAAGTATAATATAAAAAAACATATGCACTTTCTCTGTACTTTTGTCCGAAAAAACGTCTCTTTTTACGTTGGAGATGAGCAAAATAGCAAGTTTCAATTACACTTCGCCCACTCTCGCAAGTCTTTTGGTCAGGCGGCTTCGGGGTGAGTGGCTAATGTAAATGAGGCAAATCCAAGCAAACGTTTTCATAAGGGGGGAGGCAACACATAAGGTGCAACAAAAAGCAATCGAAACTAAATAATATTTTGTCTTGTAATGTAAAACAGAGGTATAAACTATATATCTTATTATGTTTGTGTATTTACAGGTCATACGACTTACTTGGCAAACGCATTCAGTACTGGTAACCCGAGTATAAAGCTCCTACCTATAGCCTTCTATTCAGGGACGTGGGCCTACGGGGGTTGGTAAGATTTGAAATATTAGTATTATACGCAACCATCCCGCTACTCCCTTCGCTCCTCTCAAGGCGTCACACTGAACCATGCATCTCCTAAGATGCTACCCACACTTTATTAGTGACAGAGCATTTACAACTGCTGCTCCCAAACTGTGGAATAACCTACCCATATTCTTTGCAACTAGCAATCTCCCAATACCTTTTTTAAAAAAATCTCAAAACTCACCTCTTCTGTTGTAAAGCGCATTTGAACATGTATATGAAAAATGCGCTGTATGAATAAATTATCATTATTATTATCATACCAAAATATCGTTTCACTGCAAAAAGGACACTGGAGCCATGCACTGCCAATGCTTGTAATGTTCTTACAGCGGTGCGGTGACAATAAAATCAGTTAAGTTTATTTTCATATTTCGCGTTTGACTTTTACAGTCTTTTTTCACGAGAAAAAAAAGGGTGTTTCAGGAGTGTTATATATTTTTTCTCAGTTATATGTATGTACATTTTCTGATATATACCTTATCGCGTGTTCAATAGTATTATGAGTTATGGTGTATATGTATCTGAACAGAATGATGTTTAACACGTTTAATGAACAAAATACAATCCAACATTTTGGTCTAGATACATGAACTACATGTATATTAAATCAATTTGTTGCTGTTGTTGTTATTTATTCAATGATCTTTTTCAGGGATACCGTGTCCGCTTTGACAGAAGAAATAAAACAACCTCAACGGTGAGATGATAATTTTAACATCATGAGCATTTTCTTCAAGTACATTTATTTAAAAAAGATAAATAAATGTAAATGGCACTTCTAATTACAGTAAATAATTACATAGCATGTATTATTACCCCACACCCTCCCCATGATCGTTTTGATATCACTGCCACAATACTATTGTCCTTTGGCAAGATATAAATCTGCAGATGCCACTCTCCACCCAGGTGCAGTAAATCGACTCCCTGTAGGAGGATATTAATTGAGTGACAGCGCACCTTATCATTGGAAGCCCCGCTATGTGTAACTGAAAGGCCCTAGGTAATTAGGACACCATGTTTAATGAGACTATCTTATCCATCCAAATATCATGAGTATGATATTGATAATAATATTGATAATAATGATGAAGATAATAACAACATAGCTAATGCTGATGAAATTAATGATGATAATAATAATAATAATAATAATAATAATATCTTTATTTAATACTCATCAGCATTGATGCTGTTCTTCCTGAGGGCCTTGCAATTATTATTTGCCCAGCAATGCCTGGTACATATTTACACCTGGGTGGAGATTGGCAAATGCGGACTCATGTCTTGCCAAAGGACGTTAGTGCCGGGCTGGGATTCGAACCCTCGGCCCTTGGATTGAGATTCAAGTGAATGAACCACTATATAACGACATATCCACTCTTATTATCTTATTTTCTTACAGAAACATTCCTCTAAGTTTAGTCATCTCTATGGCAACCATCATCATCATCTATGTGCTGACCAACATCGCTTACTTCACTCTTCTATCACCAGAGGAAGTGCTTAGTTCTTCAGCTATTGCTGCAGTAAGTATAGCCTATACCATCCCTATGTTCCCGGTTGAATCCCTCCTCCCGCCCCCCCCCCCCCCCCACACACACACAAACACAAATGATCTAACAATATTTTTAAATGATAAGTGACTCAGAATAGCTAAAAGTTTAAAGCGAATGCATTCATGTATGAATGTTTTCTTTTCTTCAGACATAAAGGGGTTGAAATGGCACACCTGAAGATACTTCTTATCACTGGTTGGTTTAAATCTATTTTGCTAGGAATCGTAGATTTAAGGTCCTTTGAATTGATTTCTTTCTCTATTCTATGCATGGCCCACTTTCATAGAGGTATATTGTGAGACGCTTTGTTATTGCGAGGAAAGGGCGCCCTATTGACTGGCTTGCATCGGATGAAGTTATGAACGTTTAGTGGCAGTATTTTGAATTTCCTTTCAAACTGAATTATGTGCAGTTAGTACTGAATATTTGCTTTGATTTATCAATTTCCTTAGATATACATGAGCCAATCTCAGACAGCAACCGTTTAACAATTCCATTGTCTTTGTCTTATTATCATGTGGTGTTCACTCTCTCTTTTTAAACAAGATTGATGGAGAATTTTTTTTTATTTGCCATTGCAGGACTACAGCGTTAAAGCGTTGGGTAGCTGGTCTTGGCTTATTTGGTTCTTCGTTTCTATGTCGGCCATGGGTGCTCTCAACTCTGGCATCTACAAACGTGGGAGGTAAAGCCTGCTTTCTCCTCTTTGCCATTATCTTTTCTCGTGCTATTTCCATTATATTCATCGTTTCATTGCATATTTGTTGTGATATAATTATTCTTGTATTATGTTTTGCATGAGAAATAAAATCATTTGAATCATTATATCCAGAGGATATCATATTTTCCAAACCTCACTGGATCTCACAACGACGTTCAAAAATAATATCAGTGCCATTTCGAAAGCCAAATTGTGCATCACATTTTTGAATGTTCGAACATTACGATGCAGTGGCGGATCCAGATGGGGCCCGAATCGCCCCCCCCCCCCTTTTGGCAGCGTTAAAAATAGGGAAGTGAGAGCAACGGAGGAAAAAGGAGTAGAAAAAGAGAACGGAAGGCAAAATAGAAAAAGAGAGGAAAAGGGGAGAGAGGGAAAAATGAAGAAAAAAAAAATCGAACGCAAAGTATTGCACAACTCTTGCGTTATAAATCAGAATTGATTTCTTGACATCAAGAAATGAATTCTTGTTATCAAGAAATGATTTGTTTTGTTGTAAAGCATTGGTAATTCTTGATATCAAGAAATGGGAATAAATGTTAAAACGGCTTGCCATACGGATGAAAGTAGAATAGTGAAAGAGAATGTTTGTGTGTTTCTATCGCTCAAAACGGTTACCTTGAAGCAGGCGCGTACGCAGGATTTTTTCAAGGGGGGGGTTTTAACATTTATAAATCGGTCCGAAAATTTCGCAACGACTCAGCCAGCCGCTGAATAAGCGGGGGGGGGGGGGGGGGGGGGGGGGGGGGGGGTAAGAGGACACAATTTTTTTTTTTTGGTCCCAAAAAAATCGCAACGACTCAGCCGACCGCTGAATAAGCGGGGGGGGGGGGGGTAAGAGGACACTTTTTTTTTTTTTTTTGGTCTCGAAATTTGGAAATTTGACATTTTGCTCCGTTGGGGGGGGGGTAAGGTCACCTTTTTTAGGTCGGCCATGAGAATAATTTTTTTTTTTTTTTTTTTTTAATAATTAAAAAAAAAAAAAAAAAAAAAAAAAAAAAAAAATTAAAAAGGGGGGGGGTTTTAGGTTTTTTTTAGGGGGTTTACACACAAAATTTTTTCAAAGGGGGGGGGTTTAACCCCCCAAACCCCCCCCCCCTGCGTACGCGCCTGCCTTGAAGCAGGAGTTTCTAAAACTCGAGAGCGCCTGGGACGGACTCCACCCCGAAGGGCTCGCCTTTACGCGATCGCAACATGCTTTCCGCACCCCCAGCCCCCCTTTGGGAAACCCTTGATCAGCCGCTGTAATGATAATCCAAACATGTAGAATTCCTCTTCAATTTGATTTCTTGAGAACAAATTACGTATCGTTTTTCTTGCGATCTACCGTTATTAAACTATTATTATGCCCCACATTTTGTAGTCTCCCGTCCTAAAGTATATTAAAAACCAGTCGTGTTCATAGGCTTCAAAGCCCCTCTGCACCAGTCTGGCCAGGAGGGATTAGACCTCTCTGCATGGTCACTGACAGGTGGTTATCTTTCAATTAACATAAGAAAAAGGGATCATGGAGGACCAATATTCAGCGATAAGGCATTGAGGGCGCAAGTAGCTATAAGTAGTGCAGTGGGGCTTGAAGTTCATACATCGTTTAATACGATGTCACTGAGATCATTGACATGATTGATACCAACAGTGTCGGTACTCTTAACTGTTCAATCATAAGTAAAGTTAAACCTTTGAGATTATTTATGTTGCCCTAGATATGAAACATATTCATAACTTATGCAGTGATCTCATCTTATCAAAACTGTCTTTGCCCTCCTCAGGCAACTCTTCGCCTTGGCTCGAGAGGGCGTGCTACCGGAGATCGTGGCCATGCTCAACGTCAACTACTACACCCCTATCGCTGCGACCTTCATCACCCTCATCGGGCTCATCTACCTGGTCGAAGACGATATTTTCACTATCATGGCTTACGTGGGCTTCGTTGAAAACATCTTTGACACGATGACGATTGCCATAGTGCCCTATTACCGATGGAAGTACCCGGATCGGGAGAGATTGGTCAAGGTGAGCAAAGCGAGAAGTCACGACCCTGACGAAAAGGAATTATTTCAGATTTGTTGTACCAATGACGGAACCCGCGATGAAGTAGGGAAACTACTTCCAAATTTGTTTCTCCTCTTTATGGGATATATAATTATTAACATTTGTATGCGCCCCTTCCATTTAGGTCGACTCCCATAAGCCCACCGAGTGGCATTGGTTTGGGCGCGGCAGGTGCCCCTTCCTTGTACTCTACTTTACAAAAAGACCCCCCCCCTCCCTAATTTAGAGTATAATATTTCGGAAATTAGTAACGGAATTACTATTTCCCGGAATATAACGTTTTTTCAGTCAGCAGTTTTCCTTGACGGACGTGGGGGGGGGGGGGGGGGGGGGTGGCTTCGCCCCGGCGTTAAAGAAAAATTACACATTATTTTGAATGATTTCAGTTTCCCTTTATTTCCATTTTAGGTACCCCTAGTATTAGTTATTTTCTACATGTGTTGCCACATCTTCGTCGCAGTTCTTGCATTCTACGTGGACCCCCTTAGGAAATCAATTGGCATTCTTGTCGTCCTGACGGGTCTTCCGGTTTACTTCGCCTTCTATCACCCGAGGTACAAACTCAAACAAGAGTGGGTCAAGTCTACTTCAGGTGGGTACCATTTTCTTCTTTGTTAGAGTGGATAGGGTTCGGTCATTGGCGCAACCTGGTCCAGTCATTGAAGGGTCACTGGCACCGGCGTACTGATGGGGGGGGGGGGGGGGGCAGTTGACTCTCCAAATAAAGTTCAAACCGTGGTTTATTTCTAATTCGATACCAGTGATTTACAAATTTTGCTGACATTACATGATTTTCCGGGTTTTATTCTCTTACTTTTGCCCATTATGCCAAGCGGCACTCCCGGTGGGGGAGGATTGTCGCTGTGCCTTCAATTTTCAGGTACCCCCTTAAAGCGCCTTTATACATAGGAAAAGTGCCCCTTTTCTTTTCTAATAACCGTCGTTTTTCCTTTTGATAAGTGCTTATTTTTCCTTTCTCCATAACATGCACCCCTAATTCAAGGCGACTTAGAGCCCCTTTTTCTTTATTTTTTCTTAGAGCGCGCTTGCTACGCTCGCTTGTATTTACAGATTTTATAATTATGTTACTGATAGAAGAACCTTTCAGTCTTTCTTTTTTAGATTGTGCTTATACTTAATGGGGTTTGTTTTTTGTCTGCTTTGTAATATTGTTTGGTACTGGGACCTCACAAACCACAGTACATTGTACCGCGTGAAGAAAGAAACAAATATTGATATCATCCCTGGTAGTGTAATCACAACCATGACGATGTAGGGGTATAAACTGATGTCTAATAATGGTGTATGTTTTGTTAATGTTTCCCTTTGTAGGTGCCTTTTTTCCAGAAAGTGCCCTCTTTGTTGTTGCCCCCCCCCTATTTTGGAAGACGCTCCGCCGCCCCTGTATTTTGCTACTTGGTGGTGATGCGTATTTTGTTTGAGGGTGATTAACGAAGCTTTGAAATAAAAAAACGATGCCGATCACCGGAGTGACGAAGGTCAATCTGTTCGAAACGTCGAGCCACTCCCGTCCGTCACTCATCCTCTCCAAGCGCTATAGTTCTCCTTAGAACTATAAGCTAAGAAAGATAACCAACAGTCTTTTTCAAGACTACACCAACAGTCCTTTTCAGGACTACACACCCTCAAGAAAGATTACCGAGAGTCCTTTTCAGGACTTCTCAATCCTCCCTCTCTCTCTCTCACATGGTGCACCCGCAAGCCTACTGTATTTCAAACAAGTTATTACTAAATATAGACAAAACTCACAATAGGCTTTTTAGTTATATACGTTAAAAATACTTCCTAATTATGTCAATTTTAATTATACCGAACTAGAACAAGCCGACTGCACTAAATTTCTGGGACTTTATATTGATAGTGATTTATCTTGGAAAACCACATTACTTATTCGAGCAAAGTCCTCTCAATAAATATTGGTATACTTAACAGACTTAAACACTTCTTTCCCAGTAACATATTATTATTAGTTTATTCTGCTTCTACACCACCTCATGTTACTTTTTCTTTCCCTTTTATTTTACGATTTAGTTGGATTGGTCACTATTTATACCCGTCCTCCATTCATTACCACAAATTATTTCCTTTTATTTTCTTTTACAGTGAAGCTGACAAGATTTTTCCAGAAGCTGTTCAACTGCATTCATCAAGAAAAAAAGACTTTTTGAATTCCATTGAAATTCAGCCCACTATTAATAAATTCCTCTGTATCTAAAATAATTGACAGTTTTTAATCACAATAACCTGCAAATATTCTAAGATTTCTTTTAGTATTATACTTTTAATACTTCTAGAATATATTTTCAGAATTTAATGAACCTGAATTATCGCAATTCAATGTTGATATTTCAGCTCAGAAGAGCAAGTATTATGGAAAAGATCTGCTATGAACATATTCATCGTTTAATGATGATAACGATTAATCAGGTACGAGAAGGTCAATATTTAATTTGAATCACTTTTTTAGCAAAGTAATAATAATACATATGTCACATTCGCATTAATAGGCTAGTATATTATAAAAATGGTGATCATTCTTTCGTTTCTTTCTTTGTTTAAATAAAAATATTATATTCTTCATACCTTTATTTCTGAGTGTTAAGCTTTGTCATGGTCAAACGGGAGGGTGGGGAAACCCACTTGAGTATATGAGAGTGCGTCGGAAAGCGGTGGTGGTATTCCCTAATTAAATGGGAACAAATCATAAAAGGTGAAAAGTAAACACTTTATATCCTACCCCCCCCCGTAAAGAATTCAAATTCAAATTCAAACCTTATTGATTTCAATCCAAACAGATAGGCTCATTCTAAAAAAATATATACATTAGATAATAAATTAAAGAAGAGAGAGGGACAGAAAAAGAGAGAGATATGTAGAGAGAGAGAAAAAAAGTGTGGGTGTGTGTGTGTGTTTGGGTGTGTGCGTGTGTGCGTGTGTGTGAGAGAGAGAGAGGGAGAGAGAGAGAGAGAGAGACAGAGAGAGAGAGAGAGAGAGAATATATTTGTAGATGTATTGTCATATCCCTCTCTCTCGATGTCCAGTTATCAAATATCTAAAAGTGCTATGCCAATATGAAGTAGATTAGAGTCGGTCCATGACAAACATACAATTTGACATGGAAGGTCCAATGGGGATATTGTCTAATTTTAGTATTTTCATACCATTCAATAAAGTTTTATCATGTATCATTATTTTCATAGCCATAAGTATACTAGCGGTATATTTTGTTGGCTCCAGTTAGCGATTGTATATTTTAATGTCACACAATAATTGTAATCTTAAACATCATGCTCATAAATAGATACAATACCGATGGCGGGTCCAGGGCTCTTTAAAAGCCAGAGTTAATGATCTGTGGTAGTCGGTCGTATTCCTGACAATTCCGTCGTTCACAGTACTACAATCTAATTTCATGTTTTAGATTCTTGACTGCAGACTCTAAGGTAAAAAGTCCAGGAGTATAAAGCAAGAGCCCACCGAGGAAAATGACTTGTATGGGCTGCCATAATAAAGTCAACGGCGGTGTTTCAGGGGGTGGGGGTTGGGGGGGGGGGGGCAGGTGGTCAACGGCTCCTTCCCCATGATTTGCCCCAGAAGGCTACCTTTTAAAGTTACATTTGGTGACTCAAAATATCGATGTATGATCAGGCACCGAAATGTGTAGTTTACCCCCCCCCCCAGTTAAACATGTCCCAGAACTGTCCATGGAACGGTCCATGTTAAAGAGTACTTTCATGACACCATGATTGACCTTCTCGGTTGACCTTGACCTAAAGCTTATCATATCACTGAAGTACTTCCTATAGTTTAGAACAACCTTGACCAAGGCGTCGCTCCTGGGTTACATTGGGGCAGTTGCACCCCTAATCACTGGTGTGGTATATAAAACGGTGTATGCCTTCATAATTATAAACAGGGGATGTATCGATAAATGTGCCCCTTTCTTCTCAATGAAAATTGATAGAAACTCTCGAGCCTTAAAGTACTATGCCTAAACTAAATATACCCCACATCCTTTTTTCTTCTTTTTGTTGTCCTTCTCTCGTCAGAGTCCTCGTAGTTTCCTTCTAATTATCATTACTTTCTTTTTGAGAAAGCTACCCCTTTTTTACTTTTAAATTTCCCGTAATATGTTCTTCCGTATTCTTCTTGATACATTTTGCCTTGCGCATGTCCCCCATTTGTATTTATTGACTAATTTTGCACCTGTTCTTCTACTTCAACTAAATACCAACTCAATTACTTATCTTGTACCCTTGACCTCATATTATTATATAAATCATTTAATTTGTAATTGTTAATACCCTCCCCGTTCCCCAGATTAGTCATCCCGACATTTTGTATAGGCTTTCTCTCTACTGTACTTTACCTCAGTGCTTGTTTCCGTTGCCAAATCCGTTTAAAAGTGTCAAAAATCACAAACTTGAACTAATCAATTGTTTTTCTTTACAACTCAAGTTCCGTTCGGTCACTTAGCTCTAGTTTTTGGATGATAGGGGGTTTATGCGAATAATGTGTATTACAACTAAAATCATAAGCATTTTGTTGAAATAGCAACAAAATAATTGTGTTCGGTTGGTTAACTGAAGAAAAAAGGGGATTGCGACGATTAATACTACAATTCACCCTTCAGATGTCTATTTCTTCTCGAACGTGAGTATCCGATTTACAATATTCTTTATCTTACGTTAGGCTCATCAGTATAGTATATCTATAAACTAATCAATATTATCCCCATTCAGATTGATTGCACATATGATGGGGGTAGTTGCTTTATACGCCCTCCAGTTTGCTTTGCGGTCTCTACATTGAAAGATCTTAATTCATATTTTGCAAAGTATGTTTTATTTTATTATCTAACTGAATAGATAGGCGTGATTAGTAATCAGTTCTCTTCGAAATCTAAATTAAACATGTATTAGTAATGATATATATATATGCAATAATATTACTCAGTTGACCAATACCGTTACTTGAATATACCCTGGCTCTACAATGCAATCTCATTCCCATTTCCGTTTTATTCCCCCGGTAACTTTACTAGTACTATATTTTACTAGGAGCGCGTTTATCTAGGCTTGCCACTAGATATGTACATATCGTACCCCACTATACGA